TCTGTCACCAATATAAAGGCTTCCATCTTCAGCCAGTCTTCCTTCCGTCTTCGCGAGCTCCGGCAATCTGGCTGGCTGAGTCGTGATGATGTCACACCTGCACATGCGCACAGGAGTCACAGGCCCCCGGCACAGTGCTCTGCAGGAATGGCACAGGTATGCTGTATTTTCAGAGCGCATGTGAAAACACGAATATCTCCTAACACGGTGCACATATAGGAGATATACCGTATTTTGCGCTCCATAAGACGCACCTAGGTTTTAGAGGTGAAAAAAAATATTCTGAACCAATACAGGGAATGACCAGAGACTGCGGACACAGTACAGGGGATGACCAGAGACTGCGGACACAGTACAGGGGATGACCAGAGACTGCGGACACAGTACAGGGGATGACCAGAGACAGCGGACCGGACCTTTGGGGAGGGAGGAGGAGCGGGCACCTGAAGTTGTCCATCCTTTAGTGTCGGCACGCTGGCTTCTTCCCGCACCGGCTTCTGTGACAGCCGGGTGCCCACTGCACATGCGCAAGAAGTGCTGCACTTTGTGAATGGCCCGGTGCTTGCTGGGACCTATCGTGTCCCAGAAGTCGCCGGACCATTCACAAAGCACAGCACTTCTCGCTCATGCGCAGTGGGCACCCGGCTGTCACAGAAGCCGGCGCAGGAAGACTACAGCGCTGGACAGAGGAACAGGTAAGGTCCTGCAGGAGAGAAGAGCTGAGTGGTTGACCCGGTATTCTGACGCGGTGGCGGAAATACTGGACCGGCCCGCTCCATATTTGCTCCATAAGACGCACTGAAATTTTCCCCCCTGTTTTGGGGGAGAAAAGTGCATCTTATGGAGCGAAAAATACGGTAATAAAGCTTACCTGTAGGTAAAAATAAATAAGTTTACATTTTTAGGTAAAAATTAATAGTGTGTTTACTACCACTTTAATGTTTTGTTGCTTTTGCCCGTCACTTAGTTGGACTGCTTTTGGATCTCTCGGTTGTCTATAAATTACTTCTGATCCTTTGTCCCTTTTTTAAAGGATAAGTTCACCTTTTTAACAAAAAATAATAAATGCACTTTTTTTTTTTGCAGGTACTGACAGGCTCATTGATCTACCACAGCGCCTTGATAGTTCATTGAAAACTACAAGTTGACGGCCGCAAAGGCTGTCTGAACTTGTAGTTTTTTCCCATTGACAAAATACTGTGAATGAGTTACGTGGCTGGATGGGCAAAGCCCTGCACAGCCGTGGTTTTTAAATTGTGACCGTTAGTGGAAGGAAGAAGATCCCCGCTAGCTGTCAAATGGGGATCAGAGGGTTTGGGGGGTCGGTCGGTTTGGGGGGTGCAACGTAATGTTACATGTCACACCTTGAATATGGGTGTAAAGTTATGAAAGGTGAACTTATCCTTGAATGAAGACAGGATTTTTGTACTTGGTGTAAAATCTGTTTGTTGGAATTCATTAAATTACACAGGTCTCACCCCCCTGTGTTTTGAAATCTATTCCTAATATTGCTTTTCTACAAAACTGAAGCATGATGGGAGTGGGTGGGATTATACTTAATGCCTTTTATATTTGCTAGTGTCCAGTTCCTCCTGTAAATGGCAGTATAACCTCTGAATTACATGTGATTCTATGTCTCTTACTAAACTCCCATGACCTGCATCTAGTTATCAATAAACAATAGCTGGGTGCAGGAGGTAGGAGAGGCAAGCATGTCATCAACTTTGTGAAAAGTTCATATTAGTGTTCTTTGGTTTTAAGAAAATTGGAGGAATGCTTGGTGGTTTATGCAGGTACACAGGGATGTCTGCTCCTCATTTATGTGGCTGCTTTTTAAGTGCTATCCAAAATGTGTGCACAAGAGATTATAAAGAGCCAAAATGGGACTTTTTCGGTACACGCCTGTTTAAAATTAAATATTCAATAAAAAAAAATTATTATATAGCAGCTATTTATTCACAGTGACTATATCAAAGAAATGTCCTTGACTACTAATTGGAATATCACACACACACACACACACACACACACACACACACACACTTGCCAAAAGTATTGGGACACCCCTGCAAATCATTGGATTCAGGTGTTTCAATCACCTCCATGGCCACTGATGTATAAAATTAAGCACCTAGGCATGCAGACTGCTTCTACAAATATTTGTGAAAGAATGGGTCGCTCTCAGGAGCTCAGTGAATTCAAGTGTGGTACCGTGATAGGTTGCCACCTGTGTAATAATTCCATCTGTGAAATTTCCTTGCTACTAAATATTCCACGCAACTGTTAGTGGTCAAGTGGAAGCAACAGCAACTCGGCCACAAAGTGGTAGGCCATGTAAAATGACAGAGTGCAGGGTCAGTGCATGCGGAAGCGCACAGTGTGCAAAAGTAGCCAACTGTCAATAGCTAAAGATCTCCAAACTTTGTGTGGCCTTTAGATTAGCACAAGAACTGTGCATAGAGAGCTTCATGAAATGGGTTTCCATGGTTGAGCAGCTGCATCCAAGCCTTACATCATCAAGTGCAATGCAAAGCATTGGATTCAGTGGTGTAAAGCCTTCCTCCACTGGACTCTAGAGCAGTGGAGACATGTTCTCTGGAGTGACAAATCACACTTCTCTGCCTGGCAATCTGATGGACGTATCTGGGTTTGGCAGTTGCCAGTAGAACGGTACTTGCCTGGCTGCATTGTGGCAAGTGTAAAGTTTAGTGGAGGAGGGATTATGGTGTGGGCTGTTTTCAGGGGTTGGGCTTGGCCCCCTAGTTCCAGTGAAGGAAACTTTTAAGGCATCCGCATACCAAGACATTTTGGACAATTTCATGCTCCCAACTTTGTGGGAACAGTTTGGGGATGGCCCCTTCCTGTTCCAACATGACTGCGCACCAGTGCACACAGCAAGGTCCATAAAGACATGGAGTGGAGGAACTTGCCTGGCCTGCACAGAGTCCTGACCTTATCCCGACAGAACACCTTTAAGATGAATTAGAGCAGAGACTACGTGCCAGGCCTTCGCATCTGACATCAGTCCCTGACCTCACAAATGCACTTCTGGAAGAATGGTCAAACATTCCCATAGACACACTCCTAACCCTTGTGGACAGCCTTCCCAGAAGAGTTGAAGCTGTTATAGCTGCGAAGGGTGGGCCAACTCAATATTGAACCATACGGACTAAGACTGGATGCCATTAAAGTTCATGTGTGTGTAAAGGCAGGCATCCCAATACTTTTGGCAATATAATATCTTTGTTCCAGGATGTGTCTACAGTGGTCACTGATTTGGTAGATAATAACTTGCTTAATGAACCAAGAGTCTACACCAGGGTATAGGAAGTGTCTATAATTATAAATAGTATTTTTTTTCAAATCACTTTGAAAAACAGCCCCTACCATTTTTGATCTTGGCCATCTTGAGTAAGGGTAGATGATTCATGTAGCATATACTTCCTGGAATCCATCTGCCCTTAGTTCAGGCATGCAAACAGGGTGTGCTTAGCTTGGCAAACCCCTCCTCCCCTTCTGAAGACGCCCGGGATGTATGACATAACTTGTCTAGGCATGGAAACCAGGAAGTAACTGAGGAAATGCAAAAAAAGTAATGTTTAAAACAAGTAAATATGATATACATGATATATTCTCCTATCTATTTACTAATGCTAGCAGCATAAGGATTAAAATGGGCAGTGTTGAATGAGAGAGAGTAAATTTCATCTTTAATCTCAGGTTACCCCTGCTAAAATAATTTATCGGGTCGGTGGGAATAATGTCCCTTACATTGATGATCAGTGGAATAATTCCATTCCCCTACCCCCCTTACATTAATGATCACGTTTACATATTGTTAAAAAGATCATAGTTATCATGCAGCCATCTCTACGTAGTGTTGAACCCAGATCTCTAGGATATAGACACCATCAGATGGGAGTTCAATCAGCTACTGCTTAAGGAGCCCCTAACAACCCTGGATGAGAATGGCTTCTTTAGGGTGCTAGGAACAAGAAGAACTGCCCAGTGATAGCTTGCATCTCCACACAGTGCTTCAAAATGCATACAGTCACTGCCAAATCATTTTACAAACTACTTGTCTTGTATTGTTGGAAATATAAGTGCCTGAATTGAGGTTCGCTTTTAAGACAGCCATAGATGAGTCGAAAGCCGAACAAAAATTCTTGTCGGTTGTCGAATAGTATGTTTTTCGCATCATTAGTGTGCCAGCTGCGACACTCGATTCCCTTGCCGCAATCGAAAGTGCCTGATCCAACATGCTGTTTTTTTTAATTTTTTTTTGTTTTTAGAAAGAACAATTAATGGCACAATTGTATGAGCTATTTTAATTTTTTGATGAACAGAACATTCAGTTTTCGACTCCTCTGTCTGGCTTTGATTAATGGAAAAGATCAACTGGAGATTGTGGTTAAAGATTCTTCTTTCTGTTTGAGATAAACCTTTTGGAAGTGGTTGCTAAAAATGCTGATTGTTATGGCAAAGGAGCACTTAGTCCTCCATGCACACATAGACTGTAATCAACGTTTTTTTGGCTGGAAAAAAAACAGGACTAGTGGGTTTCTAGAGGTGTTTTTTTAGCTGCAAAAATGCTCTAACACTGAAAAACACAGTAAACCGGCAGTTTTGGACCTTTTTGTTTTGATCAAAAACCTTTTTTTTTGTTACAAAAAACGCCACTAAACGCTAATGCAATAACATTTAAAAATAGCTGAAAAACTCACATTTTTAATGTGACTTTACACAGCTAACGTTATCAGCGTGTGCATGGAGCCTTAAAGTGACTCCCATTTGTTAATGACCCATAAATAACTTTGCTTATGGCATTTTACTGATAAAGCAGAACATGTTTCTTGTTTAGCAGAAATTACATTGGAGAAAAAAAAAAATATATATATATTTATGAGAGAACTTCTCTTTTGCAGGGTTGATAATGCCTGGTGGAGAATCTCCTTGAAGATTTGGATAACATATTGACTTAGACTTTATATGCAGTAGCCATGGAAGAAGATGTGAAGTTGGAAAGTGCCAACGATAACCCCAAGCCAGGAGCTAAATTAGACAGGAATATCTCTGTCAGCGAGTTTTCCTGCAATTGCTGTTATGATATCTTGGTGAACCCTACCACTTTGAACTGTGGGCACAGTTTTTGTAGGCACTGTTTGGCCCTCTGGTGGGTTTCATCAAAGAAGACTGAATGTCCTGAGTGTCGCAACAAATGGGAAGGATTTCCTAAAGTAAATATTCTGCTAAGGTAAGGATAACAGTGTGCTGAATTTTGCATTTTAATCTGTAACAATAATTAGTTTCTGTGTTGACAAATCATGTCTGCTGTGTTTCAACATTCTGTTTGATCGCTGCAGTTTTCATTTCCAATTTATTGTTTGTAAAGGCAGCATAGCAAAGAAATCCCCAAGCACTCCCAGAAAGTACCTGTTTACAGTGCTTGTCCTGTCTATGGCAGGGGTTTTACACATTAATATTATACAGTGCTAACAGTTTACTCAACGTTTTACAATATAAAGGGTGACAATACAGCAACGATACAGTTCAATACAAGAGGGTTAGGAGGGCCATGCTCCTTGGAGCTTACAATCTAAGAGGGAGGGGCTGGTGGTACAAAAGGTAATAACTATGGGGGATGAACTGATAGGAGAAATAGAAGATTTGATTATTAGCTGAAGGTAGGATATGTTTCCCTGAAGAGAGGTTTTCAGAGATCGCCTAAAAGTGGGCAGAGTAGGCAATAGTCGGATAGATTGGGGTAGAGCGTTCCAGAGGATGGTGGAGGCTCTGCTGAAGTCCTGGAGACAAACCTAGGAGGAGGAGACTAAGGAGCTAGAGGGGGGAAGCGCTGAGGACAGTTTGGGTGATATTTGGTGACAAGATTGGTGATGTAATTTTGAGTTCTAAATGGCTTTCTATGTTGTTGGTAATGTTTTGAATTGTATTTGTTGGGCAGTGGGAAGCCAGTGGAGGGGATTGGCAGATATGGAATGGTTGGTAAGGTGGATGAGTCTGGCAGCAGCATTCATGATAGACTGAAGAGGGGATAGCCTGCGATGAGGTAGGCCAATGAGGAGGGAGTTAAAATATTCAAAGCGAGAGATAACAAGGGACTGAATAAGTTGCTTAGTGGTTTCAGAGGTTAAAAACGGGTGTATCTTGGAGATGTTGCAGAGGTGAAGTCTACAAGATTTGGACAGTGATTAGATTTGTGGCTGAAAGGACAGATGGGAGTCTAGGATTACACCTAGTACCCCGGCAAGAGGGGAGGGACTGATGGTTGTATTACTTATCTTGATAGAGAAGTCAGGGGATGGGGCACGGGCTGGAGGGAATAGTATTAGCTCCGTTTTTAGAAAGTTTTAGTTTGAAGAAGTGAAGTGACATCCATGCTGCTGATATGTCACTTAGTAGGTTAGTAATGTGAGAGGAGACAGAAGGGGTGAGGAGTAGAAAGATCGATAGATTTGTGTGTCATCACCATAGAAATGGTACTTAAAGCCATGAGAGTTTATAAAGTGACCAAGGGAGGAGGTGTAGATGGAGCAGAGAAGGGGTCCAAGGACAGAACCTTGAGGGACCCCTACAGAAAGAGGAAGTGGAGAGGAGGAGAAAGAGTTATAGGTAACGCTGAAGGAGCGCTGCAATAGGTTGAAGGAGAACCAGGAGTGAGCAAAGGCCAACAGAGTGGAGTTTTTGAGGAGGAGGGGATGGTCAACAGTATAAAATCCGAAGAGAGGTAAAGTAGTAAGAGTATGGAGTAATGGCCATTGGTTTTAGCAGTTAGTAAATCATTAGGGAGTTTTAGTAGGGCAGTTTCAGTGGAGTATAGTGAGCGAAAGACAGACCTTAAAGGGTCAAGGAGGTTATTGTCTGTGAGATAGGAGCTCAGGCAATTGTAGACTAAGCATTCCAAGAGTTTTGAGGTAAACGGGAACTCTATACACTATATTGTCAAAAGTGTTTGGACACCCCCCCCAAATCATTGGATTCAGATGTTCCAATCCCTTCCATGGCCACAGGTGTATAAAATCAAGCACCTAGGCATGCAGACTACTTCTACAAACATTTGTGAAGAATGGGTCGCTCTCAGGAGCTCAGTGAATTCAAGCATGGTATCGTGATAGGTTGCCTCCTGTGCAATAAGTCTATCCGTGAAATTTCCTTGCTACCAAATATTTCATGGTCCACTGTTAGTGGTATTATAACAAAGTGGAAGCAACTGAGAACAACAGCAACTCAGCCACCAAGTGGTAGGCCACGTTACATGACAGAGCGGAGTCAGCGCATGCTGACGCGCACAGTGCGCAGAAGTCGCCAACTGTCTGAGTCAATAGCTAAAGATCTCCAAACTGCGTGTGGCCTTCAGATTAGCACAACAACAGCTTTATGGAAGAAGCGTAATTAGTCACTCCAGAGAACACGTCTCTACTTCTCTAGAGCCAAGTGGCAGCTTGCTTTACACCACTGCATCCGACACTTTGCATTGCACTTGGTGATGTAAGGCTTGGATGCAGCTGCTCAGCCATGGAAACACATTCCCATAGACACACTCCTAAACCTTGTGGACAGCCTTCCCAGAAGAGTTGAAGCTGTTATATCTGCAAAGGGTGGGCCAACGCAATATTGAACCCTACGGACTAAGACTGGAATGCCATTAAAGTTCATGTGCATGTAAAGGCAGGTGTCATGATACTTTTGGCAATGTAGTGTGTGTATATGCACAACCTTAAAGACCTGACGAGGCATCTGTCAAGAATTTTGGAAGTGGTGATCTGGTTTAGTGCCCCAAAAAAAAGTTTCTGCTATTGTAGCAGACAGACTTATGAATTGCAGGTGCACTGATTAGTACATACATAGTACAGGGGTATGGACAACAGAGCTGTAGGCAGTGTGTGCAGAAGTCTGACATTGCACCTGCAATCTGCTGATCGCAGGTGAAATATTTTGCAAACTCCTGTTTTAAAAAGAGTAATGTCCTTTTTGTTGCTATAAAAAATGTAAATTTGATTATATTTTATGTAAAGGTGTACTTTGCCTTTAAACCCAAAAGCAAACATTTATTATTTTTCAGCTTACCAATTGCTAGATGTGGTGGCTGCATTAGTTTTCCTTTTCAGGGTTTGTTTCTTTTTTTTAATTTGCATTGTTTTTCAAAAGAACACGCTCTCTTGCAGATGTGTCAGTTGCAAGGATGAGACAAACCATTTAACATTGGCAGAGTTTCTTACAGTAATCCGTATTTGTGTAAAACCTTTATCCAAAAAGGAAAAAACAGTTTTAACTACTTGCTTGTAACTACTTACCTGGAGTTTGGCTTCAATTTGTTAGTGTGAATCTGTTTAGTACATCTAACTCTCCCTTGCCCAAAGATTGACAGTGCTGCTGTCCAAATGTGTCCCCTGTGCTCATTCATCCAGAGTGGGGACAATCTATAGGAGGTTTTACTGGCCTGATCACCAGGTGAAAACAGAGGGGGGGAAAAAAGCCTAAAAAAATTAAACTAATGCAACAACCACATCTTATGATTGGCAAGCTACACTATATAAAATTTTTTAGTTTTGGGGTCAATACCACTTTAATACAGAGCTTCATAGCTACTGATTAGGCTGACGATTCAAGCACAGGTGGTAATGCCTAAATGGCAACTCCATGATATACTGCTAAATAAATCTTTGGTAATTTGAATGATACATTTATTCTTTTTTCGAGTTCCAAAACAAATGCATTGAAGTCTCAGCTAGTTTGGTGTGACTATACTTCTCCTTTTAAGTTCTGTACAGTCATTTCTTAACCACTAGGGGACCGCCCACAGTACATATACTGCTACAAGGCGGCCCCTGTGCGCAGGTTCACGTATATAAACGTGATCCTGCATTCCATGGTAGGGGGCGTGCATGAGGCATGCGACCGCCCTACCGGCGGCACCGATCGTGGGTGTCAATCACCGGGCGATCAAATACCACCAAAAAGCCCAATTCGTGGGGGAAAAAAAGAATGTTAATTTCACTTTGGTGCAGCATTGCATGACCACGCAATTGTTAGTTAAAGTAAATCTGCTGTAACTGCTTCCTGACCACCCTATAGCAGAAATACTGCTGCAGGGCGGCACAGGTGCGCAAAATCATACATACATATATATAGTGATTCGCACTCCCGTGGTTTTCACACCCCTCCCAGATGGTGTCAGATTGCCCGCCAGTACACCAGTAATCACATTTAACCCCTTGATTGCCAGGAAGATGCTCATGCACAATAAACCTCCATTGCTAGTATAGTGTCTGAACAGATCAATATCTTTGATCAGAGCAGCACTATACCAGCGTTCACATTAGTATAGCATCCTCAAAAATGCAGCGTTAGCGGCATCAACCCTGGCACCTGCGTTTTTAGTCCCTACGCTTACCCCCCCCCCCTTCTCCCCCAGCAAGTTCAGTGTCAGTAGGTCACTGTCACTTGATACATTGCACACAAAACCGCAATGTTCACAGAATCGGGCCTGATCTCTGTTGGCACTTGTCGGTAAATTTTGATGATTTTCATATGCAGCAGAGTGCCAGTACTAGTGCCGCGCTATCTTTTGGTAAACTGGCGAACACTAGTGGCCTGGTACATCCTGGCCTTTCATATACCTCTTAGATTGTTAGCTCCAAGGGGCAGGGCCCCCCTAACCCTCTTGTATTGAACTGTATTGTCTCCCTTTTATATTGTAAAGCGCTGAGCAAACTGTTGGCGCTATATAAATCCTGTATAATAATACCAGCACTGCAGTATAACTTGGTGACGTGGCGAGTCCCATAAGTGCAGTACAAGCTGGTGCAGTGGCGAGCACAAGTATTGTCCCACAACCACCAAGAATTCGCACATAGGCCGTAGAGCCACTAGTATCCTTCCGGATGTGCTTGCAAATCTTGATTTAGCAGCCCACAAATTCTGCAGCACCCGTACTTCCCCATTCACTTCCCAACCCGGAATTCAGGTGGAAATAGCAAATTTAACTCCTCCCCTTCATTTTTTATGATTGTGGATCAAAACAATTTATATGTACCACAGTTTATTGCCGCCAACCCAAATTCAAACCTTGCCAGACCATTCACATGGAAACTCATTACGGTTTCTGAATTCATATTTATTTATTTTTTATTTTTTTTTTTTTTTGGGCCTAACCCTCAACATGGGCATTACTTAAAAAAAAAAAAATGAATTGCGGTTGTTTTGGTCCACAGACCCGATTCATCATATGTCCGTGTTCTCTGCTTTCATGGCTAGGCATAGATATTTGAGTATAATGTGTTTTATGCATTTCAACGACAATACACTCTGTCATCCTCGAGGTGACCCTGAATTTGACCGGCTACACAAAATTCAGCCCCTCATAAATCACCTTACCAAAAATTTCCAGATGTCTATACTCCCCAGCAAAACATCTGCGTTGATGAGTCCTTCATTAATTTTTCTGGCTGCCTTGCATTCAACCAATTTCTCCCCCTGCAAGTGTGCCAGATATGGGGTCAAGATGTAGAAGACCTGTGAGAGGGCAACAGGCTATACTTATAAGTTTCAAATTTACGAGGGAAAAAAGCCCCCCGGATGCCCAGACTACATGGGGAGTAGTGGCAAGATAGTTTGGGACTTGGGTCATCCTTTTTCCATATGGGGTACCACTTATACGTGGACAATTTTTATTCAAGCGTGCCACTATTTAGACATTTGTACAATCTTGGAACTTGCGCTTGTGGCAAAGTGTGACCTAATGTGTGCCCACCATTAGAAGTGGGTGGACACAGGGCGGTATATTCTAATGGTGAGCATACCACACATTTCTTCTGGCAGAGATTTTTTTTTTTTCATTCAGTCCACAGGCTGCATACAAAAAAAAGAGAACATTAGCATATACAGTAATACCTCGGTTTACGAAAGCCTCTGTTAACGTAATTTTCGGTTTTCGAATGAAAATCCATTGAAAATAATGCCTCGGTTTACGATTTAATTTCTTACTAATTTTTTCACAATACGAAGGGTATGTCAGTGCTGATTTTTAAATGCAACTGCCATCTTTTTTTTTTTTTTTTTTTTTTCTCTTTCCTTCACTATAGCTCACAACATTAGCTGTTAGTTTTCCCAGAGCTAAAGGATACTTTGTATCTTTTAAGAAACTGAAAGGAAACATCTTTTAAACTAAAAGAAACTTTCTCTCTTTTAGCTGGAGGGGGAAAGTGACTACTGAATTTCTGAACTACTGTATAGTGAAGAAAAAAAAACAAAAACCAGTAATTACATTTAAAAACTGGCACCTGACAGCTGAGTGTAAAAGAATTGCGCCAAATAAAAAATGTTTTTTTAATTGCCAGCAATTCTTTTACATTCAGCAGTCAGTGTGGAACCCTGCTGACAGCTGAAACATTAACACATGGTTGTCCCTAATAAAATACTGCATGATTTAATAAAATACCTCATGCTGTATTTTAGTAGTGTTTACTGTTTTTCTGACCTTTGAAACTGATAATTGGTTTTCAGTGCATTCCTATGGGAAACAGTGTTTCGGTTTACAAATTTTTTGCTATACGAAATGTCCTGCAGATCGAATTAAATTCGTAAACCATGGTACTGGTACATCACTGGACTTTGGTTATACCAGGATGATGCCTACAGCTGCAGGCATCATCCTGGTATCGTTTTTTTTTTCAGCCGGCAATCGGCTTTCATGTAAAAGCAATCCTAGTGGCTAATTAGCTGCAGGATTGCTTTTACAAGCAGTGGGAGACTGCCCCCCTCCCCCACTGCCTTCTACGGCCTTCTCGGGCAGTCCCGTGCCATCGGGGCAACCTGAGAATGGAGCTTGTGTTTCTGCCAGCTGACCATAGAGCTGATTGGAGACCAGAATGGTGCCAATCATCTATAATAGCCTAAGAAATCTGAAGCTAGGAGCATTTCATCACTTCAGTTTCACAGGATATAAACAGCGCCATTTATAAATTGGGAAAGCATCTGATCACACCTATCTTGGTTTGATTAGATAATGTAAGGGCAGAGGAGGTATCTAGAGTCTGATAGACCTCAGATTTCTGAAAAAAGAATATATGACAATGCCCATTGAAGTTATAGGGGATATTTGCATTCCCTGTGATAGCATTAAAAGTAATTAAAAAAAAAAAAAAAATGAAAGGGACAGTGTAAAAATAATATAAAAAAAAAAAAAAATCAAAATAATGTAAAAAAAAAAAAAACCCTCGCCCCCCCCTGCGCACACGCATCTGCATTCATGAGCGTTGACCCTGTGCCAGTATGGAAACAGCGGTTGCACCATACATGTGAGGTATCGCCACGAACATCAGGTCAAGGGCAGTAATTCTAACAGTAGACCTCCTCTGTAAATCTAAAATGGTAGCTTGTAAAGGCTTTTAAAACATTGCCTATGGATATTAAAAAGGTATGCAGTTTGTTGCCATTGCTCGGGGCATGCAGAGTTTTAGAGCATGTCATGTTTGGTATCTATTTACTTGGCATACCATCATCTTTTATACTTTACCAAATAATTGGCCAATATTTTGTGTTTTTTTGTGCATTAAAAGTAAAAAAGGTGTATTTTTTTTTTTAAATTGCCTTTTGAAAAATCACTACGTGAGTACTATGTGACATACAAAATTGCAGCATCCACCATTTTATTCACTAGGGTGTTTGCTTTAAAAAAATATATAATGTTTTTGGGGTTTAAATTAATTTCCTAGCAAAAAATACAGATATTTTTTTTCATGTGAACAAAAAGTGTCAGAAAAGGCTTGGTCTTCGGGTGGTTAGAAGAGTGAGTGACGTGGCATAAACTTCTAATGCTGGGCATAAAATACCCCCGCCCCCCAAAATGACCCCTTTTTGGAAAGTAGACACCCCAAACTATTTGCTGAGAGGCATGTTGAATCAATAGAAGAATTTTATTTTTTTTACCACAAGTTTTTGGAAAATGCAAACAAATATATTTTTTTTTTTACACAAAATTGTTACTTAAATGATTTATTGCTCACACATGCCATGGGTATATGTGGAATTACTCCCCAAAGTACATCCTGCTACTTCTCTCGAGTATGGGGGTACCACATGTGAGAGACGTTTTGGCAGTCTAGCCAAGTACAGGACCCCAAAAACCTTCGGGCTTTTAAAGGGCTTTATTTCCTCATTACACTTCCTGACTACCTATCACAGTTTCGGAGGCCCTGAAATGCCAAGATAGCACCAAACCCCCCCCCCAAATGACCACTTTTTGGAAAGTAGGAAAGTAGACACCCCAAGGAGTTTGATCAGAAGCATGGTGAGTATTTTGCAGATCTCGTTTGTTGCCACAAGTTTTTAAATTTGAAGAAAAAAAACAAAAACATATGTTTTCTATTCTTTTTTATATTTCAAAACCTTGTGGGAAAAATTGAGATCTGCAAAATACTCATCATGCCTCTTTTTAAATTCCTTGGGGTGTCTACTTTCCAAAAAGGGGTCCTTTGGGGGGTTTGGTGCTATCCTGGTATTTCAGGGCCTTCGAAACGGTGATAGGTAGTGAGGAAGTGAAATGAGGAAGTTCAGGCTTTCAAAGTGGTCATTGGATTTCAGGCTCCTGTATGTGGCTAGGCTCCCAAAAAGTCTCACATGTGGTACCCCCATACTCGGTAGAAGTAGAAGTATGTATTTTGGGGTTTAATTCCACATACACCCATGGCTTGTGTGACAAATATATAATTTTAAATGACAACTTTATGTGAAAAAAAAAAAAAAAGTTTTTGTCATTTTCCAGAAACCTGTGGGAAAAAAAATCTTCCATGGACTCAATATGCCTCTCAGCAGATAGCTTAGGGTGTCTACTTTCCGAAAAGGGGTCATTTAGGGGTGTTTGTACTGTCCTGGAAATTTAGCACCTCAAGAAATGTGATGGGCAATCAGAAAGTAAAAGCTGTGTAAATTCCATTATCAATTTAACAAAAAACATATAGCGGAATACATTTTGGCCTAAATTTATGACGAAATTTTAGGTTTTTTTTGGATGTTTTATGACGGAAATGAGAAAATATTGTTTTTTTTTTTTTCAAAAAAAAAATTTTTCTCAAAACTTTTTTTCGTTATAGCGCCAAAAATAAGCGCACAGGTGATCAAATACCACCAAAAGAAAGCTCTATTTGTGTGAAAAAAAAGGACATAAATTTCATGACCGCGCAATTATCAGCTGAATTAGTGCAGCGCTGAGTAGCAAAAAGAGGTCATGAAGGGGGGTAAATCCTCTAGAGGGCAAGTGGTTAAAGAGGACTGTGAAACAAAGTTGGTTTAACATCTATTTATTTATGTGCGCCAACCCCCATAAAAGTTTCCTAGCTTAACAAATTCAACAATAATTCTGATATTTACTGCAGAGTCTGACATCTGGCCCTAGGTGACAATGACGTCACTCAGACTTCCCACAAACTGGAAAGACAGGAGTTAATAAACGGGTAATTGTCTTTATTTGGTAAAATTCTGAATAATAATTTAACAGTCTCCACCCCCCCACCCCCCTTTTTTTTTTTTTTTTTTTTTTCTTTTCTTCTTCATTTGGCAGAGATGTGATAGAAAAACTATTTCCTGATGCCATCAAGGAGAAATATGAAGACCTTGAGCAGAACAGTGAAATTACGCGAGCCTTGCAGGCTTTCAATAAATTTGGAGATGAGCAGAACCAAACGTCTTCCAGATCAGGACGAGCAAATGTGAACAGAGGAGGAGGATTCTTTTCAGGGGTGTTGACTGCTTTAACAGGGGTGGCAGTGAGTTGCTTTATTTACATGAATAAATGTTGCAAAAGGAGTGTGACATATATGTATTTTTTAAACCAAATTTAAACCTTAAAGGCTCCATTCACGCTTGCGCGACTCCAATGTCTCACAATTTCCAGTGCGATTTTGGAGCGTAACTTAAATGCGACTTTACACTCTATGGATCAAAGTCACCTCAAAAGTTGCATCAAGGTTAGTGCACCTTTTCAAAGTTGCTGCGTCTTTTTAGGTCACACCGATTTGAATGGGTGGCATCGAAAAGCATGGGCTGTGATGTGTCGTGTGACTAATGTCCAAAGTCGCATGACAAGCCGCACAAGTGTGAATGGAGCCTAAGTGTTCTTTAAAACCGAAATTCACTTTGATCACTTTACTTTAAGTTTCCTTAAAAATGAAATATGATTTCATTAAAAGTGGAATTCCAGGCAGAACACAAGGTTTCAGTGGACTTTATATAGTTTGCTTGCACCAAGCTGGCCCGAGTGAACTATTTACTTCGCTAATAGGTACATGTGCTGTATAAAACTCTATGTAGCCTCAACTACGTACAGTACACACCACTCTGGGAGTTCCCATTCTGCTCCTGGAACAAAATAGTCTTTCTCCCCCCCCCCCCACCTGTGTCCCACTGAGAGCTACCTGAACTAATGTCCCCATTGGTAGATTTCTCCTCTATTCCTGTTCTGGTGACCACTTAAAATTTGGGATTTCCTTTCGCATTCACTTTTGGTGATAAAATTTACCAAGACAAACAGAGGTGGTTATCTTTTCTAAAAATTCCACAGATAGCAATAAAATTCTGATGGGTGTTATAAGTCCTTTTCACTCGATCTTAAAAAAAAAAAAAAAAAAAAAAAAAAAAGATGGCTGCCAGGTTTGGGACCTGGAGTAACCACCATTACATGTCAAACTACCATGATGTCCTATTATATTGATGGGTACCTCCTGTGCTCCTGTCTAAACCAATAAATAAATATAAATGGAATAATAAAGCTGCCAATATCCAATCATATATCTAAAGATCTATAGACAAAACAATACAGTAAATGATGTAGCGCTGTCTATAATGAATATTCCATACTTGAGTGAATAACATACCAAACACACACAAATAAATAAAAGTGAATAAATTCTAAAATAAATAAAAACAAGAACAAAGTGTTAAATGAGTGACTTGATCCTCGTAAAATCCGAAAAAATACTATAGTATCCGAAAGTGACTTGATCCTCTGGGGATCTTTTTGTGAAGGAAGTGAATATCAATCCACAAAGTGATAACAATGAAACGTGTCTATACCAATGACTCCACACAATATAGTGTGTATGTGAATTGATCCTAATAAGGATCTGAAAGTGATAGTGAACACTCAAATAATATAGAATAGTACAAATGGGACTAGTGCATAGTCTCTGTCCAAAATTGGTACTGAAGACGAAAGAATGCACATAAATCCCAAAAAACTCCTAATCACAATAATCCCCAAAAACACCCCAAATCAAATATAAGCCCAAACACAAAGAATTGTGTAAACGAAACACACACGTGACAATAAACGCTATAGTGTAAGTAACCGTGTCACACTATATGTGACAAACATGCATTAAAAAAAAAACGCATGACTCTAAGAAAAAATGCTTAAAAGGTAAAATATAATAAGTGAACGAATGTCCAAATTGGTGTGTTTAAACACCACGTAGTCCAATGTATAAAGCACCCATGCACGTGGGTGGTGGATGTGCGTGACCACAGAAGGATATCCACAGATAGCTGTAATACCCGCTCACCTCCTTGCTTCGACCCGCAAAGGGCCAAAACACCTGTAGGATCACCAAACTGGTTGCTACATGTATAAGACTCCTCTGTCACTGCGCCCCTCTCCCTGCAGCGATCTCCCCCTCAGGAATAAGCGTAATAGTGGCGTGCTCCTCTCCAGGCAGATAGGTGTGGTGTAGCCAGTTTTCTCGTTAAAAAACTTAAGCAGACTCTCCCACAGCGTATTACTATTTTAATGTATTAAGAATAAAGCCAAACCTTCCAAATTTGCACTCACATTTCATTACATCTCTATAAAAGCATTTGGAACCTCATGTTCTGGGTGTAATTGCATGAGTGTAGTAAGATGGTGTCCACGCTGGAAGTGCGTCACCAGGTGCCTACGCGTTGCGTCACGTGACTTCCTCAGGGCTCACACACACACGCATGCACGCACTTCTTTATTCCCTGTTTACCTGATATTGGGTTCTGCACAGTTTAATTACTCACCCAGCCATTGGATCCACTATTGTCCTGCTTTTTCTGCATCCACCGCTCACGTCCCACGCTACCATTTTCTGTTGTTGCATCATCAGGAGGCTGCCCGCTTTTCCAGGTTCAGGCACAGCCTCCCAATGGCTCACCACTAGGCCTAACTCCCTCCTCCTTTTGAAGGATAAGTTCACCTTCTGGTAACATGCTACACCTGTATTTAGGGTGTAACATGTAACCAAAGAGCACCTACCTGCAATCCCTCACTTACAACAGGCGAGGGATCTTCTCCTTGCATCCACTGTCACAGTTTTTGAAAACAGATCAGCTGTGCAGGGTTCCACCCTAACAGCTGTCATTAATCCAGATTTCTGTGAATAAATGAGTTAACACTACAGTCTGCCATTGCAGCAGATGGCTTTTAGTTCTCCATAAACTGCGAGGGTGCTGGTGAGTGCTTGCTTAGTTCATTGACCGCTCTGCTCTGCCCCGCATGGGGTAGACCGCTATACTAAGTTTCTGCAGTAGCCTGACATTGCACCTGCAATCTGCTGATCCTGAGTGCAATACTTTCCACATTCCATGAAAAAAAAAGTTGTTTTTTTTTTTTTTTTTTTTTTTTACTGCAAAAATGTATGCTTGATTTATTTATTTTAAGGTGAACTTGGGCTATAATGAATGGAGTGACATGCAGCGGTCCCAGTGCCTCCTGATTATATGTATGTCACATATTCCAGGAGACACCAAGGGACTGCACATCATTTGCCTAGGCAAGGAGGGAGGATAAGACAGGGAGAAAAACCAGTGCAGGGGGGAAGTAAGTACAAAATTAAAAAAATTAAAAAAAAAACTATTGCTGTGGGGGAGGAATGGAGAGGGGTGAACTTCATGACAAGGGTAAGATCTGCTTTAAATTGGTTGTAAAAGGTAAAAAAACATATAGTTTGCAGCTCTCCCCTCAGTACCCCCCCCCCCCCCCCCCCCCCCAGTAATTGCCAAATCTCGATCCAGCACTGCGAACAGTGTGATCTCTCCCTCCTCATTGGCTCCTGTTGCTCTTAATCACAGCCAATGAGGAGGGAGAGATCACGGAGAGCCACTGTTCTCAGTGCTGGATTGGGTTTGGGTAATTATTAGGGGGGGAGCTGAGGGGAGAGCTGTAGACTGTTTGTTTGTTTGTTTTTTTACCTTCATGCATAAAAGGTGAGGAGGGAGCAGGAGGTCAGAGCCGAGCCATTCTCTGTCTTAGGAGCAAGTACACATGAGTGCCTCCATAGCAAGCAGCTTGCTCTGGGGACACTCATCAGGGAAGAAGAGCCAGGAGCATCGGCGGGGGACCCAAGAAGAGGCGGATTGGGCTACTCTGTGCAAAACCTCATCATACCTGGAATTCTTCTTTAATACTATTTTACCTAGATCTGGTTGAAGATTTATAGTTCTGGTTAGTGACATTCACCACAGAGAACTCTAACCCCCCTTTGGTTTCCCTTTAGTGGGACTATCACTAGGATGTCTTTTTTTTTTTTTTTTTTTTTTTTTTTTTTTTTTTTTTTCTTTTTTTCTTTTTTCTTTTCCCCTTTCAACAAAAAAAAAACTTTTTTTTTTTTTTTTCTCCATATGAAGCACACTTCACACAACTTTTAAACTCACTGTAATTCTGTAAGGATACACATATTTATCATGTATATCCTTTAACATGTTTAAATTTACTTCTCAGGTTGTGTTACTAGTGTATCACTGGAGCAGTCGAGAGTCTGAACACGACCTTCTAGTTCACAAGCCAGTTTCTAAATGGACACCTGAGGAGGTAGTGCTTTGGCTTGAGCAGTTGGGTCCATGGGCCTCGCATTATAAAGAACGCTTTTTATCAGGAAGGGTAAATGGAAGGTAAGAAAACCTCTGCAATTTTCACATTTTTCATCTTCACTGGTAATTTCAAATACCTTTTTTTTTTTTTTTCTACTACCATATACCCAGATCAGCCACAATTTTATGACCACTGACCTGTAAAGTGAATAAAATTGCATTACAATGGCATCTGAAAGTGGGGAATATATTGGTCAGCAAGTGAACATGTTGTTCCAGAAGTTATGTTGAAAACAAAAAAGATGCGCAAGTGTAAAGGTTTGTGCGACTTTGACAACGGTCAAATTGTAATGGCTGGACAAGTGGGCAGTGGTCAGGGCCTACCAAAAGTGGTCCAAGAAAGGAAAACTGGTGACAGGATCATGGCTAGCCAAGGCTTACTGATGCAAATTGGGAGCGAAGGCTGGCATGTGTAGTCCGATCCAGTAGAAGAGATACTGTAGCTCAAACTACTGAAAAAGTTTAATGCTGGTTCCAATAGAAAGCTGTCAGAACGCATAGTGCATCGCAGTTTGTTGCTTATGGCGCTATGTAGCCACAGACCGGTCAAGTTGTTCATGCTGACTCGTGTCCACAGCCAAAATCGCTTATAATTGGAACGTGAGCATCAGAACTGGACCACTGAGTAATGGAAGAAGTTGGCCTGGTCTGATGGGAGTGAGTTCGGCTGTGCTGTGGAGGGGGCGAGTTCAGCTGTACTCAGGCAGGGAGGGGAGCGAGTTCGGGTGTGGTCGGGCGGGGGGAGCGAGTTCGGCTGTGGTCGGGCGGGGGGAGCGAGTTCGGCTGTGGTTGTGTGGCGGGGGGAGCGAGTTCGGCTGTGGTCGTGTGGCAGGGGGAGCGAGTTCGGCTGTGGTGGTCGTGTGGCAGGGGGAGCGAGTTCGGCTGTGGTCGTGTGTGGCGGGGGGGAGCGAGTTCGGCTGTGGTCGTGTGGCGGGGGGGAGCGAGTTCGGCTGTGGTCATGTGGCGGGGGGAGCGAGTTCGGCTGTGGTCGTGTGGCGGGGGGGGAGCGAGTTCGGCTGTGGTCGTGTGGCGGGGGGAGCGAGTTCGGCTGTGGTCGTGTGGCAGGGGGAGTTTCGGCTGTGGTCGTGTGGCGGGGGGAGCGAGTTCGGCTGTGGTCGTGTGGCGGGGGGAGCGAGTTCGGCTGTGGTCGTGTGGCGGGGGGAGCGAGTTCGGCTGTGGTCGTGTGGCAGGGGGGGGGGGAGCGAGTTCAGCTGTGGTCGTGTGGCAGGGGGGGGGGAGCGAGTTCAGCTGTGGTCGTGTGGCGGGAGGGGAGCGAGTTTGGCTGTGGTCGAAGAGGAAGGGGGGGTGGGGTTTACTGATGAAGGGTGGATCTTATAGAGGAAGGGTGGGACACATTTAGATTGGGGGGGTTGCCCCATTTTAGCCTTGCCTAGGGCAGCAAATAACCAAAATACACCATTGGGTGTGTTACTGGCCCGATCACCAGGTGAAAACGGGGAAAAAAAAGTCAAAAGAAAACTGATATAGCCACCACATCTTAAAGCTGCAATCGGGCGGGGGGGCGAGTTCAGCTGTGGTCGGGCGAGGGGGGCGAGTTCGGCTGTGCTCGGACGGGGAAGTGGTCTCGGCTGTGCTCGGGTGGGGGGTGGGTTTCGCTTAGCTCGAAGGAGGGCCCGCAGTGAAAAGCATAGGTTTTCTAAATATTTTAAAAACTTTTTTCTTTTTGGCTCCTTAATTACTTCTGCAGTATACTGATGTTCTCCTGTATCCTGTCAGCAGTCTCTGACCATCTTCTGTATCGCGTCTGCAGTCTCTGACCATCTCCTGTGTCGTGTCCGCAGTCTCTGACCTTCTCCTGTATCGTGTCCGCAGTCTCTGACCTTCTCCTGTATCGTGTCCGCAGTCTCTGACCTTTTCCTGTATCGTGTCCGCAGTCTCTGACCTTCTCCTGTATCGTGTCCGCAGTCTCTGACCTTCTCCTGTATCGTGTCCGCAGTCTCTGACCTTCTCCTGTATCGTGTCCGCAGTCTCTGACCTTCTCCTGTATCGTGTCCGCAGTCTCTGACCTTCTCCTGTATCGTGTCCGCAGTCTCTGACCTTCTCCTGTATCGTGTCCGCAGTCTCTGACCTCCTCCTGTATCGTGTCCGCAGTCTCTGACCATCTCCTGTATCGTGTCCTCGGTCTCTGACCATCTCTTGTACCGTGTCCGCGGTCTCTGACCTCCTCCTGTATCGTGTCCGCGGTCTCTGACCATCTCCTGTATCGTGTCCGCGGTCTCTGACCTTCTCCTGTATCGTGTCCGCGGTCTCTGACCTTCTCCTGTATCGTGTCCGCGGTCTCTGACCTTCTCCTGTATCGTGTCCGCGGTCTCTGACCTTCTCCTGTATCGTGTCCGCGGTCTCTGACCTTCTCCTGTATCGTGTCCGCGGTCTCTGACCTTCTCCTGTATCGTGTCCGCGGTCTCTGACCTCCTCCTGTATCGTGTCCGCAGTCTCTGACCATCTCCTGAGATAGAGCTCTAGTAGGAAGAGGTGGAGCCTAAAGAGGAAGGGGTGGGTTTACTGATGAAGGGGTGGATCTTAAAGAGGAAGGGTGGGACACATTTAGATTGGGGGGGTTGCCCCATTTTAGTCTTGCCTAGGGCAGCAAAAAAACAAAATACACCACTGGGTGTGTTACTGGCCCGATCACCAGGTGAAAACGGAGGAGAAAAAAAAGTCAAAGAAAAGAAAACCGATATAGCCACCACATCTTAATGACTGGTAAGCTGCAATAAAATACATTTTTGGTTTTGGGTTTACCCATTCCAGCTCCAGGGATGTACCCATATGTCACTGGAGTTTGAGCTGTTGTACCGGGATGATGCCGATACCGTTTTTTAGAGGCGGCAGTCTGCTGTCTTGTAATAGTAATTTGAGTGGCTAAGTAGCCACTTGATTGCTATTACAAGCAGCGGGAGGGAGTCTTCCGTGCCTTTTAATGGGAGCTCCCGTCCCACTGGCAGTCCTGATCTACCACCCGGCACTGCCACTGGCTGGTTACAGAGCCAGACAAAGACCTTGGCTCTGTAGTATAGTAAACCAGAAGTGATGACTTGACACCACTTCCGGTATACTTGGAACTAAACTGTGCCATTTAAAAAAAAAAAAAAAAAAAAAAAAAAAAAAAAAAAAAAAAAAAAAAAACATTCAGTCACACTGATCTTGATGTGTTCGAATGAGATTAAGGGCAGATGTGGTATGTGGGTTCTCATTGACCTCAGATTTTTCCATAAAGACTACCTGTCACATGCCTATTTCTGTCTTAAAGGATGTTTACTTTTTTTTTTTTAAAATCATTTTTATTGCTTTCACAAGAAATGTAAAGTGACAGTATAAATTAAATAATAAAAAAAGTACCCCTCCCCCATGCTTGTGCGCAAAGGTGAACGCATACATTGATCCTGCACACAAACCGTGATCTTCCCACACGTGAGGTATCGCAATGAATGTCAGATCATGGGCAGTAATTCTAGCACCAGACCTCATCTAAACTGGTAACCTGTACAGGCTTTTAAAGCCGTTGCCTATGGATAGTAAAATTTACGTCGTCTGTCGCTTCTACATGGGCAGGCACAATTTTAAAGCATGACATGTTTGGTATCGATTTAGTAAGTGTTGTTTTTTTTTTTTATCCAAAATAATAGTTTGAAAAACCACTGTTCAAATACTGTGACATGAAAAAAATTGCAAAACCCACCAAATTATTCTCTAGGGCCTCTGCTTTAATGGATCACCTTTGGGAACATGTACGTCTTCCACCTGATTTTACGGTGGAACATGTAACATGTTCCCGATCCTGCAGCCCCCCTCCACATGTCAGAAGTATGGGGTGAAGCTCCCCGTACTAGCTGTCAGTTTTCAAAAAACTGTGTGGCTGTGTGGTGCTCCGCCCACATGGCCACATCATTCATTCACACATTCAACACAAAAAGAGAATAAATGCCCTTTTTTTTTATACTTGTTAAAAATGTGCATGTATTATTTTTCGTGGAAACGTGAACTTATCCTTTAAACAATTTATACTTTTTTAGGGGTTCTAAGTAATTGTTTAGCAAAAAATACTGATTGTTACATGTAAACAAACTGCCAGAAAAGGCCTGGTCTGGAGATGGTTAATACCGCTTTAAATGATCTGCAACTGATGGCTTAGTGCCTGATACTACAGCATACCTTCAGAGATCTAGTGGTGTCCATTCCTCGATGAGCTGGGGCTATTTTGACAGTAAAAGGGGGGGACCCACTCAGTATTAAGTGGGTGACCATAAAGGTATGGCTGATTGGTGTATATCATTAGTAGTATTGTACTATCTGTTGTTTAGTCTGTTCTGTTTTTGAATCTATCAAGAGGAGCAATTGTTATTATGACACTTATGACATGCCTTGACCTTTTGAAAAATTGTTTAAATGCACTTGGACTACACCAAATCAGTGGTAATATTTTTTGGCTTCTTCTGGTCAACATGGTTTTGCTTCATGCAATGAGATACTCTTTCTGTCTTCCATTCAAGTGTTCCAACCTACTCCCTTCTTCCATCCATTTTTATATTTTTCTCTATTTAAGGCAGTAAGATTAACATGGGCAGCCAACTAGTTTCACACCTAACCGCTGAGGTGTGGTGCATTAAAGTGCACACTTTTTTTTCACACTAATGTTCTCTGCGTTAGGCAGCCAATTGAAAATGAATGGACTGTCACCAACCTTAGCAGCCCAGAAATTGTACCTGCAGCATCATTAGCCTATGCAGCATTTTTCAGTGCTTCGGGCTGCTGTCCAGCACTCCTCTGTTGGCAGAGTGCGTTGGGTGCCATGCAGGAAGCAAATGGAGTGCAGTGTCGCTAGTTGCCGTTCTGTACACAAGAATGTGCCATTTCCCACAGCACTACAATGTTAAGTCACACTTGCATCTAGGACCAATCATTTGCAGGTAATCGCTCCATGACAATTACTTGTGTGCAGCTGCAAATAGCGGGAAATGACAGCCTCTCATTGCTTTCAATAGGGCTTCTGCCTCAGTTAATCGCTGGGAATCCCTGCTGGGTCTCCAGCGTCCAATCGTTAATGGCCCATTCACAAGTATGACTGGGGCCTTACTGCAACCACATGGTTAATCCTTGTGTGGGTAATAAACATTAGATGTGCAATGTCTAAGCCAAAGATGATGCTTCTGATGCTAGGACATTGCCAGGGGTGCCAAGTTCCAAAATATATACTGTGACGATCGCAACGTCAGACCCCTGCCCTTCTCACCAAACTCGTGACCGAAGGACTAGCCAATCTAAAACCACGATGTCAGGTGCATAACAATGCTGCTCCCTGCACAACGGTTTTCTAGCTAATGGACCACAATCTATGTACTGGCAGCCTGAGCGCAATTGTTACTGGGTCAGGTTAATTACGCAATTAACCCTTCACACTGCCACCACCTCCTTTTTGTACAGAGAAAAAGGAAACTCGGCAATATCAGCAATAACACTACGATGGTTGAAATAATCGTCTGCATACCACTGTCACCGCAGGCAGGTTATACAGAGGGTTAAACACACACAGTAGCGCTCTTCAGCGGCAGGAATTCGTAATTTGCCTTAAAGAGCTTTAGAAACAGTTCAACACTTTCAGAAAGTAAGATGTATTACTAAAAGGTCAAAAGGGTGCAATAAAAATATTTACAGAATAAGATGTAGCCTATATATACACACACACACACACACACACACACACACACACAGAGGAGAATAGCACAGCAAAGAGATAACAAAAAGGAGTTTAAAGTACTTGCCAGTCAGCCTTGGTTTAAGTAGCTTCAAGTTTCATAAGTCAAAAGGATTTATTGTCTCTACTGTCAGTTTCGATGTTAAAACAGGAGACTCTTCTCTCACACACACACCAAGCATAACAGCCTTTTTCTAGGATCTCAGCAGGGTGTCTCTTTACAGCAGAGAGCCAATTGCCTCATTTGGGGAGGGGTGTTAGGGTGGAGACCCAAGCTAGAACAAAAATCCCTCATAGCTTATATTATGGCCCATAACTTTTCCTCGGGGCATTTAGCAGCTGTGCCACTAGAATAATAACACTGTTCAACAAATTTTTATTTTTTGCCAGTTTTGGAAACAAAAGGATCCATTTCTTAATGAATTTCACATTCTGAGTTCAAATATAACAATGAAATTTGTCAATTGGCTCTAGTTTTTCTGTAAACGGAAAGTTTTCTACTATAGGCGTAATGACTACATAATGCACAATAATTATATAGATAGATGTCTTTCCACAAATATAAAGCAAGTGATATTGACTACATAACAAAGCCTAAATGGCATAATATATTGCATAGGATTACCAAGAAAAATTATAGCCATAAGCTAAGTTGAATCATTTTAATACTTAGGATTCTCACTAGTTTTGTCTTCAGTTTGTGTCGGTTTTGCTTCTCTTGGCTTTTCTCTTGTATTCGAGGAAAGGGCTATCTCTTACAACTGCACGTGACTACACGCTTCAGGTTCTTCCTCACTTGACTCAACCACAAAGGATTCTGGTGCTTTAGGAATTGGTAGCCCCTCTCCATGAGGAACTGGACGTATTGCCGATGGAATATTTGGATAGTGCACAGATAACTTTTTCTTCTTATTTAGCCCTTTTACAATTGGAGGCACCATACAAAAGTAACAATTACTAACATGATCTGTTGGCTCTCTCCAAATCATTGGCACAGCGAAAGGCATAGATGCCTTTTTTTCCATTCAACCATTGCTCCAGTGCCGTCCCACAAGAATTGCAGCATATATGTGGTGCCCAGCTCTTGTCCTGGTCTCCTATCTTGCAGTCAAAATACAAGTTGTAGGCTTTCTTAATCATTCCTGTTATCCTCCTTTTTTGTGAGATAAAAGTTATTTCACCGCAGATATAGCAGAAATTATCTGCTTTATTCACACAAGTTCGAGGCATTACTGATTAGCCTATATAAGCATAAAACGAAATGTAAAGACGCTGTCGAACTACAATCAGCTACAGATACTGCAGCTTTTATGCAGTGAAGTGATGCAATTAAAGGCTAATATTGCATCATCTCAGTATACATGCAATTTTCTATTGGTCACCAGTATCAATTGCGCAATATGCAGCTGAAGTTGCATCATAATTTTGAATGGCTTACGTCATTAGATGAGTGAATATATCATGGAAACTAGAGCCAATCAACATTTTTTAGGGTCATTTTCGTTTTCAGCACCCCAAAATTATGTAAGATTAGCTAATTTTATGCCCAAAACTTTTTACCTGTTGAACAGTGTAATAGGCAGATGCATCTGCGGAACGGTTAGATATGAAATATTCGCGTGAGTGGTTCAGGAGATATAATTTTCTGCCCTCCGATATGTTTCAGGGGGTGTAATATACCAGGAGAATGGTCCCAAATTGAGCCGTCCGAATATGGGCTCCATGTTTAGGTAATTATGTCCTACGTGAAGATATCAACTTATATGAGAAAGTGAGTTTTTAAAAGGAAGTCTGTTTTTACGACCCCTTGGAAGGTCTTTTGAAGTTCAGTGAGAGACTTGGTTTACTCTTTTACGATATCCCAGATGGCGATCTAATAGCCAGCTAGGCCCCAGCTCCGTTCTATAGCTCGGAGCTCTCCGGCTGTGTTTTGGCTGCCTGTGACCTCTGTCATCACTCAGCCCACATGTCACTCCACAGCGAGGGAGGAGGGGGGATGATTGGAGGAGGCAGCCTGCTTTGGGAGTGAGAAATGGTACAACATGGAAAATGCTTAACAAAATGGAGGTTCGTATCCACCTCTGGGTGCACGATTGCTACATATACTGCCTTCAGTTGGGCTAGGTTCACATTTTGTGCAGTGCGGGAACATGTGCAAAATTTGTATGGTTACCTCATCGCATTTAAAAAGAAAAGTGCTTCCCTTTTTGCAAACGCTTAGTGGTGGTATTCATTCTTAATGGCACACCAACGTACCTTGCTAACTTGTACACCAAAACGCATTGTAACAAAGTACCATGCATATTTTGTGCAGCAAAATTTCACAAAAAGGTCATGCACTTCTTTTGTGCACATCATTGCACCTGAATACATGTGAACAGAGCTTAGCTATCCATTTTTAAGTGCTTTTTGCAGAAACTCACTACAGTCCATTTCAACATGGTTACCTATGGGACACGTTCACCGTTGTGTTTTTGGATAGGGTCAGGGAAAAGTTTTCCTCCCAGCAGATTGCAGCATGCATAGGTGTGAACCATGCTTCAGACCTCAAGCACTGTACATTTCTGGCAGTAAGTGGAAAATCCACTCCTAAATTCTTTTCCTGTGTTTGTTTTCAATGAAGATTTTTTTTTCATAAAAGCCATAATTGGCTTCTGATTAAAAAAAAAATACATTTGCTAAATTAAAAAATTTGCTCTGTAAGTGAAATTTTTGGTATTGTTTCATTATCTTTGAACGGATTCTTACAGCTGAACCTCACCGTACAAGGAAAGTTCCACTTTAACACCTCCTCCCACCTCCCTCTCCCACTTTTGGGGGTTTGTTTGTTTTTTTTTGGAGGGGGGGCCTCAGTGATAGGAGCAGAAGTTCTTACCCCACCCACCCACCTACCAACAACCTTTTGGGACATGTCACAGGTCCCAGGAGGCTGTGGGACAGTTCATATAGCCAGGCTCTTACATGTGCAGTGGGAAGCCAGCTATGAAGCCGCAAGGAGTCTCTGCCAATGTCCCTTAGTAAACATGCTGGTGCCGGGCACCCAAAGTCTGGTGAAGAACCTCCCAGGTGAGGACAACGCTGGATCTCTGCACAAGTAAGTGTCCTTTTAAAAAAAAAAAGTAGTCAACTACAGTATTTGTAGCTTCTGACTTACATTTATTTTTAACTACTAGCCTACAGGGCACTTATACCCCCTTCCTGCCCAGGCCAATTTCCAGCTTTCAGCACTGTTGCACTTTTGCGCGGTCATGCAACACTGTACCCACATGAAATTTTTATCATTTTTTTGTAACAGATAGAGCTTTATTTTGGTGGTATTTAATCACCTCTGGGTTTTTTATTTTTTCTTAAACCAAAAAAACCACTGAAAATTTTGAAAAAAAAAAAAAACGTTTTTTTTTAGTTTTTGTTATAAAATTTTGTAAATAAGTGATTTTTCTCCTTCACTGATGTGCGCTAATGAGGCTGCACTGATGGGCACTGATAGGCTGCACTGATGGACACTGATAGGTGGCACTGATGGGCACTGATGAGGAGGCACTGGTAGGTGGCACTGATGGGCATTGACAGACATCACTGATGGGCACTAAAAGGCAGCACTCATATGTGGCACGGTTAGGCGGCACTGACTGGCACTGTTGGGCGGCACTGACTGGCACTGTTGGGCGGCACTGATAGGTGGCACGGATACACACTGATAGGAGGTACGGATGCACACTGATAGGCCGCACTGACTGGCACTGATAGGCCGCACTGATTGGCACTGATAGGCCGCACTGACTGGCAGCACTGATGGGTGACACTGAAAGACAGCTCAGATGGGCACTGATATGTGGCACTGATGTGCACTGGCAGGTGGCATGGATGAGCACTGAGAGCTGGCACTGATGGACACTGACAGGTGGCGCTGCTGGGGCTACACAGATCATCAGCGCGACAGCTCATGGGGAGAGAGATGCTGATAACCGGCATTTCCCTGGTTACATGTGATCAGCTGTGATTGGACACAGCTGATCACATGACCGAGCTGACATCTTCAGCTCTTTCTGTGGATCGGTGATCCGCTGTGTCCAAGGGACACATCGCAGCGCCGATCGCCGCACTCCGGGAGCCGCGCATGCGCGGTTAGAATGGGAGGACACCATATGACATCTTCCCAGAACGAGAGAACCGCCTTGCGTCCATCATATTAGTATATGGCAAGCGGGAGGCGGTTAAAGTGCATATTAGGGAAAGCATATTTATGCTTTCTCTTTTGTGAACATTTATTTTTTGCAGGTACTTGTATAGTGCCAAAAATTTACACAGAGATTTACATATGTATTGTACATTCACATCAGTCCCTGCCCTCATGCGCTTACAATTTAAGGTCCCTAACACAGTCATACAAACATATACTAGGGCCTATTTAGACAAATGTCAACTGTTAGTAGGTGTAGTGACCACCATAGTATGCTAGTTGTACTGGGGTGAACAAAAAAAAATACTTTTTAACATATAAAATTGTTGTTAGGCTTGTACTTTTGAAACTTTTGTAGCCTTTAAAAGTTCCTCATGCATACATCATTATTTAAAACGCACTGCTGATTTTGTGCTACCTTCAATCTCCCATGGTGTTTTTACAGGCTGCTGCTCTCGCTTGCAGAAGAGGAGTTCTCAAAAGAGCCATACAGCATAGAGAGTAACAGTCATAGAAAAGCCATTATTATGGAGCTGGAAAGAGTCAAAACCCTAGGAGTCAAACCACCTCAGAATCTGTGGGAATATAAGGTACAATTTTAATTTCCTTTGCCTTAAATTCTTTATTTACATTATATATATATATATATATATATATATATATATATAACGGGCTTTAGTGTCTGTGTGACCACTGTATATTAGGTCAGAACTTAGTAGAGATTATGTTTCTGGGATTTCCCACACACAAAGTGCAAGGCTAGGATGAGATTATTTCTGGTCCTTAGCTGGGTCCTAGGTAGAATTTATAAAGTGAGCACAGGTTTACCTTTTTTTACTTTCGGCTATATGTTCAATCCAGTGTAAGAGAATTTAAAAAAAAAAAAAAGTTTTCTTTCTCATTTCACAAGGAACGTTGCATTCAGGGAGATTACATAGCTGCCTACAGGAGGATTTGGACATTTTAATTTTTTTGCATCAAGACTTTCCCTACATGCTTCTTAGGGCATTGGGCTGTGTTTTTTTATGGCGCTTTCCAGACCTCTGTGTACTGTTTGCTTCAGAGCACTTTTCAAGTCTAAAGCCATGGCATAACATCTGGGGTGACAAGGGTTTGAGGACTTAATTTTGAGTAGGCCCTGTGGGGTGAGCGTCTGGCTCTTTATATTACAATTATTATTATTCTAATATTACACTTGTTTTCCGTTGGTCTCCATGGAAGAGGTTGATACGGTGAGTAATTGTTGTATCCCTAACAGGAGTGTTGTGCACTTTGTACCATTTTCCTGTTTTTCAGCGTGAAATGCTATCTTCCTGGTATTTCTGCTATTCGCTAGAGATGCGCAGTTTCACCTCAGTAAATACCTACAAAATCTTTCCTGTTCCCAGCAGCCAGTTTGTGGGTGCGCATCTTTTTTACCTGGTATTCTCAGTTGAGTTGTCTGTTGAACAGGTGTACCAAGTTCAAGGGTCATTTCAGCTCACAGTCCACTAACTGTTCCAGAGTGGCCTGCTATTTCCCTCCTATGGACCTGACACACAGTCTGGACCATTGTCCCCTGCTTGAGTCCATACATTGTTCAGAGTCTTTCTTGGCTCCATTGGGTGTGGCCACTTCCTTGGCTTAATCAATCAAATTCCTTTTTTGTACTCCCACAAAAAGTCACACTTTCTCCCTAGAAAGTATACAATCTCACATAACCTTTTTGTGATTACCATAAATTAAGTATAATAAATTCATATAATCAAACCTAAAGATAAAATAAAAATAAAAATCTATAAAAATGTGAATTGTGTCCAAAAAAAATGTTTAAACAGTAATAGTGTCCAATGTCCAAATCCCAATTTTCCACCTTGATGCAGTTAGAAGGAAATCAATCCTAGATATTCTGAAATACCTCAAAAGAAAAGAAAAGAAAAACCATAGTGCATTATCTTTTACATATATAACACTCCACTCAGTGCTCAACACAAAAATCACTCTTAAATTGTGCAAAAAAAACTCAGTGATCACTATATAACCACACACTTTGTGATCAACCACTTCAATTCCAAAAAAACACTGTGCACAACCCCTAGTGAATAGTGATACTAGGTACTAGTACCCTTTTTTATTCCAGCCACAAATGATACCAGGTACTATTACCCTCTTATAGTTGTTTTTCAGGCATGGGCTATCAAAAGTACTCCTTCCTTTCCAATGCTTTACTTCAAGGGCAATCCTCCAATATCCTCGTGAAAATAAACAGGCTCTTAGGCAGAATCCATATTAAAGGAACAAATTTAATCCAAACTGCGTCTTGACGTCACTCCCCTAGGAGTCTTGATGCATGCACACCAAACCGGAAATGTCGCCGCGGCCATCTTTTTGGTGGTGTACATGTGGTTTTCTAAAATGTTTGTAAAAAGCCATTGAAGGAGTAATGCTGGGAGCTGGATTCTGCTTTCTTTTATGTAAGTTGTGATTAAATTTGTTCCTTTAATATGGATTCTGCCTAAGAGCCTGTTTATTTTCATGAGGATATTGGAGGATTGCCCTTGAAGTAAAGCATTGGAAAGGAAGGAGTACTTTTGATAGCCCATGCCTGAAAACAACTATAAGAGGGTAATAGTACCTGGTATCATTTGTGGCTGGAATAAAAAAGGGTACTAGTACCTAGTATCACTATTTACTAGGGGTTGTGCACAGTGTTTTTTTGGAATTGAAGTGGTTGATCACAAAGTGTGTGGTTATATAGTGATCATGGAGTTTTCACTTTTTGGGTTTGAATTTTATATAAATTAAAAATACTTTTTGTATAATTTTTTTTTTTTTTTTTTGTTTTTTTTTTTTTTGCACAATTTAAGAGTGATTTTTGTGTTGAGCACTGAGTGGAGTGTTTATATATATGTAAAAGATAATGCACTATGGGTTTTTCTTTTCTTTTTTTTGAGGTATTTCAGAATATCTAGGATTGATTTCCTTCTAACTGCATCAAGGTAGAAAATTGGGATTTGGACATTGGACACAATTACTATTTAAAAAATGTTTTTGGACACAATTCACATATTTTTATAGATTTTTATTTTATCTTTAGTTTTGATTATATGAATTTATTACACTTCCTTGGCTTGTTCTGGGGAGGTGTTATACAAGAGTTTATGTGCCAACAGACAAACAGTAGGTGCATGCACGAGGCGTGCACCACTTACACCGCGCTCCTAGTACTGCGTCCGTATAACAGTCTTGTGTAAAGGATAAGTAGTCCCAAAGGCAAAGCCAAGGGGGTCTGTGTTAGTCCAAAAGAACTCCCACAGCAACCACAAGGATCTGGGATGAATCCAATCACATGTAGGAAAAGAAGGTACAATGGCGCTGGAGTTAGTTGAGTAAAATCGGTAACATTATTGAAACAAAGCACACTTACATTTAAAACACATTGAGTCCAGCCTAGATGGATTGTCAACATGGCACAAATAAACAGACTAGGGTAGTACAGGCAGCAGCGGGAATGTAAACCGACCAGGCAGCAATAGATATGAAAAGTGAATGTTCACCTTGTTAGGTAAAATACATCTACTCCTGTGGCAAATCATACCTAGTATGTATCAAGCTTTATCTCAGAACTATTTAAGCTGTGGTGCTGTTTAAAATGTTTTTATTGCAAACAATTGTATTTGGAACTTTAACCCTTTTTTGTGTTATGCTCTTTTTTTTTAGGCTGTAAACCCTGGAAAATCCCTTTTTTTGTTATATGCACTGAAGAGCTCCCCGCGACTCAGCATGTTATACATGTACTTGTTTGATTATACAGATACCTTTTTACCTTTCATCCATACAACTTGTCCTCTTAAGGAGGAGAATGAAGAAGACATCATCACCAAGTTTATAGTAAGTCAGTTTTGCATACCCGCTTTTGTGCAGTGACTATTTTTATGTACAGTGCATTCATAAAGTATTCAGACCCCCTTCATTATTTTTTTCTCAATTTTGTTATGTTGCAGCCTTATACTACAGTTGTTTAAATTAATTTTTTTCCTTCTTAATCTATGTACCTCATAATGACAAAGTGAAGACCAAAATTTAGAATGTCTGCGAATTTATTAAATATTTTGTTTAAAAATACGGAAACTTCACATTGGCATAAGTATTCAGACCCTTTGCACATGAAATTTTAGCCTTGGTGACTCCCATTTCTCTTGACTGTTGCTGAGATGTTTCTACACCTTGATTGGAGTCCACCTGTGGTAAATTACATTGATTGTACATGTTTTGGAAGGACACACACCCCTCTCTCACAGCTGACAATGCTTATGTATTAGAGCAAACGCTATGAGGTCAAAGGAACTGCCTGCAAACCTCAGAGAAAGGATTATTGCAAGATGCAGATCTGGGGAAGGCCACAGAAAAATTTCTGCTGCACAGAAGGATTCCAAGGGAGCAAAGTGGCCTCCATAATTCTCAAGTGGAAGAAGTTTGGCACATCCTGGACTCTTCCAAGAGCTGGTCGCTCAGCCAAACTGAGCAATGAAGGGAGAAGGGCCTTAGTAAGAGAGGTGACCAAGAACCCGATGGTCACTCTGACTGAGCTCCAGAGGTCCTATGTGGAGATGGGACAAAGTCCCATAAGGACAACAATCACTGCAGTTCTCCACCGATCTGGGCTTTGTGGCAGAGTGGCTAGACGGAAGCCTTTCCTCAGTGCAAAACACATGAAAGCCCACTTATATTTTGCAAAACAAAAGCTGAGAGTTTTCGTCACAGACCAAGATTCACAGCATGGATCAGCGTGTGCTGCAATGCCACCCAAACTTCACCTGACTTAAGGCAAGCTGATAGATACCTTTTTATAGTAATGTGAGCACAATACAGCTCAAAAGGCTAGTGGAGCTTTCTCTGTGACAGTTCAGCTATCCCCAGAAGATGGTGAAGCATCACAGATGCACAGGCTCAAGGGACTGCAGGTTCTAGACCAACTGCAGGCACATGACAACATTGATTGAATAGGAACAGGAGAATTAAGAATTCTATCTACAATATGTAATATGTACATTGTGAAAATATAAAATCAGATAAAATAGGTATGTATTAAAAAATGCACACAAAAGCCCAATTTAATGATACTGTTAAGGAGGGGTCCCTTTAGGGAGACTAATTCTATTCTGTAATCTCCATCCATCAATGCCACTGAATAGAACAAAGTATGGGTAACATTTTACCTTTCCAGGTATTATGGAATTTTATTTCATTGTGCATTTTCAGCCTGTGAGTGTTCTATTTCTGCAGTAGTTGGAGACTGACCGGGTCTCCGTGTGACAGAGGTATTCCCTTTAAAGTACTCATCCATTCCCACCAGTTGTTCAAAGCCTCCGCAAACACCAATGTCTGTTTTTTGGGTTTTTTTTTAACGATTTCCATTGAGTTTCACCTTTCGAGATGTTGCTTATTTCTTATGTGGATGTTATAGCTTCTCTGCTTGTTTTGCCAATATTGTGTTATGGAGAAGGGTCATTTGAGCACTATGAAAAATTTCAGTCTAAACAGAAAAGACTAACTTCAACAGAATTTCATGGGGAGACCCTTGAAAACCCTACAGTTTCCCTTTTTTACTGCAGAAATTGGCTTCTATTAAAATTTTAAATCTGCTATGCTGCTAATCTCAATTTTTCCATCTCAAAATATTCAGTAAATGTGTTGACTTCTGTGTTTAATCCTATTTTCCCAAATCGTCTTCAAGGATAGCCCATGAGATATAGGCACCTGCTCCAACAGGAACAGTAAACACATCACCAAGTACGCTTTAAAAAGAAGTTCTTCTGCTGAACTGGTCAGTTTTTGTGTTTCCTCCATTACTCCACCTGGAACCTGGGTGAGAGAGAGACGCCTGTGTTTTTTCTGGCTAGACTTTTCTTCCACTTGCAACTTCACCTACCTGGCTCCTCCGGGAGCCGCTGGTAGGGTTCTCGGCTAAATTGCCCTCCAAGACCACTCCTCCGTATGGAAGGAGGTTCGCTTGGTTCCCTTCCTCCTTCTGTGCCTAGCGAAGGCCATCTCTGGAAGTGGTATACCCCGTTGATGGGGATCAGCACACGCAGCGTGGTTCCCAGTCTGAGTGTCTGGGTGCCTTGCACTGTAGGGCATTTTTTTTAGCAGGGGCTCACGTGGTAGCTGTGTTGGTTTTGTGGGCCGTCTGTGTTCCTGTTTGACCGGACGATGCAGAGGCATTGGTCCTGGTAGAAGTGGAGTCATTTCCAGGTGCTGGAGGCTCTGGTTCCAAGCCTAATTTTTGGCTGGTTGCGTTTTTAATAGTATTTCCTTCAAGCACAGGTTGTCAGGATGCTATAAGTGGAAGAGCTAATGCAGCATGTTGGATTCTCAATGCAGTCTGTATATCAGGCGGATACAGGCGTCCTTGGCACTAGCAGGACACATGTAAGTAGAGGTTGCTGTACCTACTTGCTTTTACTTGTATTTGTCGCTAGGTTTTCACCTAGCCTGTAATCTGTCACCTTCGGACCCTTGGGTTCAGGCTTATTGTGGCAGGGCACTGTTGGGCTCTCCTATCTAGGGCTTCTTAGGCTACATTCACACTAGGGTTGTGTGCAGGCGGCAGAGAGGCGTTTGGGAAGCGTTTTTAAGAGCTTAAGAGAGGGGAAATTATTTGCAGTCCACTGCTTGCTCACAGATCACATTAATTAATCCTAATTGTTTCTATTAGTTGTTACCTGGGTGTGGCTGCTTCGCAGGCGCTTTGGCTTGCCTTCCTACACACAGAACAATGTCCAGGGTGTTAACTCAGCTGGCAGAGATTTCACATCCACCTGTCTCACATAGCCTTCTATTTCCACTACAGAGCTGGAGAGGCTGAATTATAAATTGTAGCCTTTCAGAATGATCATGTTCGCTGGTATACCATGATCTTCACTAACTCTGGATCAGGATATATGGACCTCATATATATGGTTTGTGGGGCCACATTCACTGATCCTTGCTATAGATATTTACCAGGGTAGAGATCTGTCTCCTGTACTAGGTCTGCAGCCTTGGCATAAGTCTGTCTTGTTGGGACTAAGGTCTTGTGGTGTATTATACATCTAATACCTGATGTGTAGTAACCAATTTGTGCTACTGGTCTTGCATGTGGAGTTGCTTTAGGTTTGCATGGGACTCTTATGCTTAGACTCTGTCCAAGACCTTAAGGACCCATTCATAGCAGAAACTGCACATTACTGCGTGTTATTTCCTTGTACCTATGCATGCAGTTGACGCACACTTTTCTATCTGCATTTGACCTGTGAGGTAACTTCCTTCTTTTCCTTAGGCTTCTATGTTCACTGCAATGCATTGCAGTGTGTTTTTGTGCATTTGCAGTGCGGAAGAATGCAGCATGCTGTACTTTTCTGCATTGCACTGCAGTGGTGTGAACTATGCCCATAGGATAGCCTGGGTTTTGGACTGTCTGTGCAGTTGGAGTGCAGTCCAAAATGCATCCAACTACTGCCAACTGTGTTAGGTGTGAAAGGGCCTGGAGTTGCACAGGTCCAGGGTTTATACACCCTACTGCTGTATTTCACCTCTGCTTACTGCCATCTGTAACCTCTAGAGGTACTCCACAGGTCAGGTGTTTCACTGAATAATATAGGTACTTTAGGGTCCTTTTCACATGGGTGTTCTGTTTTTTTCATCAGTTCAGTCATTTTTTTGTCAAAGAAAAATTGGATCAGTTCACTTCCGTTTTTCATCAATTCACATCAATTTTTTTTACATCCTTTACCAATGCAAAAATGGACCGTATGTCCATTTTTACATCCGTTTACATCCGTTCCTGTTTCTTTTTTTACGGAAGAAATATAGGGTTTTCTTCCTTTCAAAAAAACAGATGTTAATGGATGCAGACATTAACGAATGTAAACAGATGATCATCCATATACATCTGCTAGTCCATAGAAATACATGGCTGTCCATTTTTCATCCGTAAACAGACATACGGAACGCCCATGTGAAAGGACCCTTACACTCACTACTTTACATTGTAGCAAAGTGTCATTTCTTCAGTGTTGTCACGTGAAAAGATATAATAAAATATTTACAAACATTTGAGGGGTGTACTCACTTCTGTGAGATAGTGTATCTTGTAGCACAGTGGTTCCCACTTCATAGCTTCCCATGCACATGGTTGGAAACTCAGTTTTTTCCAAAGTTTTAAAGCATTTGTGGAATGTCTTGTCTTTGCATTGATTCACTTAGTGTGGAGTGTTGCAGCAAATTTATATTTACAACCCTAATTCCATTTTGCATGGCATACAATGTACTTGTGCATTTGGGGGGGAGTTGTTTTATCCTGTACCCCAATGTTATACCTCTTCCATGGCTTCTTCTGTAGATGGTGTGATAGTTGATATTGCTACATTTATGTAATGTCTGTCCTTGTTCTACAACAAATGTTTGGTACAGATATAAAACTATATTTTACACATCTTGCAGGTTGTCCAGTTATATGATAGTCCTTGTGCATGCATTGGGTATGTTGCAATTCTGTATTTTTGTGTCTTTTCAGACTTCACTTCAGGTTTTGCCTAACTACTAGTTAAATATGCTTCTACTATTTGTTTATGGTTGTCAGTGATGACATTATGTACCACTATACTCCCCCACAGAAAGAGGGTACATTTGGAGACTTATTCCAGTGGATTTTTGGCATCCATTAACATTCCTGATTTACTGTAGTTATGTCATTTTAGGCCAACACCCTACTGCTTAGTCTTTTCAGTCGCAGTAGGTGCACAGTAGCTGGATGTATCAGCGTTGTCTCAATATAACAAATGTGTATATATATTGCTTATTCCTACATAGGGGAGATAACATGGGTCCCTGAATAATTTATATCTCAAGGCACTGGGCTTTCTCACATTCATATACAAAAGTGTAGGTGGTGGAAAGTCACTAAATGTGTGTTTTTTTGTAGCAGATCCTTATGTACTTATATTCTATATAGGGTGGTGTTTCTATATCTCCACCATAGTTCAGACCTAGTCATTCCATTTGGGTCTGTAGGGGCTTATTTTTTTTTTTTTTTAATTTACACTTTGCTGTCAAGTCTTTACCTAGTGTTCTTCAATTACCCTGTTTCTTTTGCCACACAGACTTGAGTCACTGGTCACACAACTGCGATTTGTGTGCGCGATTTTTCAGGTGCAATTTCTGAAGACTTTATTGCGACTTGTGAAGATTTTCAGCAATTTCTTGCAATTTGCATTGTGGTTTCCATTATATTTTTATGTATGTGAAATCGCAATAAACAGCAGAAAAAGTAATGAAGGAACTACTTTAGAAATCGTGCTGCAGCAAATAGCACATGTTAAGACACTGATATTTACATTCATTAGATGCAATTCCAGGTGTGATCTCAATTTGCACCTGTATGACTAGGCACTTAAGGGCGTTCATTAGTTCTTAGTTGACCAGTGCCTCACTAGAGCTGGCTCTTTTATTAAGGATATTGATTTTTTTGGATCAGTCCAGTGTGCCTTTTGAGCTTTCCAGATATGACTTGGTTTTTCCTACAGCTAGATCCCCTACCTCCTCCTTTTTTTTTTTTTTTTTTTTCTGTAATGAGAATTTAATACAACCTGGTTCACCATATCTATAATATTTATGGTCATCCTGAGGGTGGTATAGGTCTTTGGACTTTTAATGACCCTCCCTAATATAGTAAGTTCTTGCTAATCATCTCATGAGCTGTCCTGGAAGGCAATTTGGGAAAACCGGAGTTAGACTTACCGGTAACTCTGTTTCCAGGAATCTTCCAGGGCAGCGTGTAGTTGGTGATGCGTTTCCTGTTCCTGTTGGAGTAGGTGCCTATATCTAATAGGCTGCCCTGGAAGACTACTGGAAACCAAGTTACTGGTAAGTCTAGCTCTGTTTTTTTTTTTTTTGTAGATGAGCATTATTCAGTGTCTGGCCACTGTACACTATGTGCAGATGTGATGCTGTGACCCATGCCTGCTTACTAAATCTTGCAAATTGCAATAATAGTTATTTAATACCTTCCTGGCCTCAGTGCCAAAATACAGCATCTTCATGGGTCTGTGATCAACTCATTAGTCATTTTTTGTTTCTTTTGGATTAATTGGGTAATTATGAACAATGGTACATTCAAAGTAACGATTGACACAGAGAAAATATTTGTGCATATATCTGATACATTTCATAAACATGCAAGTGGAAATTGGGAAATGTGATACTCTTACCAAAAAGTAGGGGCAGTGAAGGATATATGTTGTGTAATCTATTCACAGGTTTCTGTAGCATTAAGTGCATTGCGTGGAAACTCCAGACAGCTGGTAAGCTGCTGTTAGCACTAATATTGTGGTGTCTTAGTTTTATTAAAGGATGTCTTGGACACTAACATTAACTAACTTTTTACTGGTCGTATTAAGACTCATAGCTTTTATTAGTAACTAACCATTAGTTACTGCTAGAGAATAGTTTGTATACCAAACAATACAGCTTTGTTTTTTTTTTTTGGGGGGGGGGGGGGTTCAGGTTGTAGCACATCAGAAAACGCTGTGCTGCGTCAAGCATGGTAGTAATCTCTTAACTAGGGATGAGCTTGCATTTGTTCAGAACCGGATTAGGTCCAAACCTGGAAGACCGTTGCCAAACAAAAGGGGTGGGAATACTTATGATATCATTTAACCCAATATGGGCCATATCAAGTAAATGGCATTTACCTCTTGCTGATAGACTCTTCTCTTAAGTTTGCTAGGAAACCAACACTTCTGGTAATCTTGACTTTCTATATTCCCAGCTGTGCTCAGTGGTTTTTCCTGCTGACCATTCTATCACAACGGTGTCATGAAGAGATATGAAATTTAGTGGGAGGAAACCGGTGAGCACTGTGGGGAGATAGAAGATTGACACTCCTAGATGTTTCAATTTACCAACAGACTCCTGGGAGGATTTCTCATCAGCAGAGTGTCATTCAGTGGTGCAGGCAGCAGGAGAGGTGCTTACCATCTTCTTTTGCAGGCAGATCACCGTCTTTTTTTGTGACACAGTGGTTTTAATAGATTGGCCATAATCTCTATATCAATCTCCATCATTGGAAGCAAAAATTTAAAAAATCTAAAATATTTTTGTTTAGGCAACACACACTGCAGCACTCCACATTGCACAGCATGTGCATTGTGGTGGGTTGTGTCGGGAAAAATGGTGTGTCCGTTTTTGGCTGCATTGTGGTGTGTGTTGGCAGCCCAATCAACGTGAAAGGCCTGCCTTAATGCAGCGCACATGCCAGCACAATGCAAATTTATATGTATTCTCAACATACTACAAAGCAATGCTAAAATGTAGTAGCAATGTTACCAGAACAGTGTAATTTCTTCACAAAAAATTGTACTTGTGGCAGCAGTTGTTGCCAGGAAATCTATAGTCCTCAACATTTGCATATACTGTACACGTAAATCAGTCAGCATAATGAAAATAATCCAGTCATTGCACTTTTTTTGTTTTCTAAAAATCTTGATTAAATGTGTGTGCATGCAAATTATGATTGTTGCAAGGGATGATACTGGCAAGGAATGCATTGCTTGACTACATGCTTTAGCGGTTTACCCTTTTTAATTATTTGTTTTATTGCCTTCTCTATATGTTATGTCTGCCTCTTCTTTTTTTTTTTTTCTTTTTTTTTTTCTCTCCTCTCTTCCTTTTTCTCTCCCTCCTCTCTTCCTTTTCTTTCTCTCCCTCTCTCTTCCTTTTCTTTCTCTCCCTCTCTCTTCCTTTTCTTTCTCTCCCTCTCTCTTCCTTTTCTTTTCTTTCTCCCCTCTCTCTTCCTTTTCTTTCTCTCCCTCTCTCTTCCTTTTCTTTCTCTCCCTCTCTTTTTTTTTTCCTTTTCTCCCTCTCTTTTTTTTTTCCTTTTCTCCCTCCCTCCTTTTTTTTTTTCCTTTTCTCCCTCCCTCTCTTTTTTTTTCCTTTTCTCCCTCCCTCTCTTTTTTTTTTTTTTTCCTTTTCTCCCTCCCTCTCTTTTTTTTTTTCCTTTTCTCCCTCCCTCTCTTTTTTTTTTCCTTTTCTCCCTCCCTCTCCTTTTTTTTTTCCTTTTCTCCCTCTCTCTCCCCAGTATATTTTGATGTTACATAACTTCAATAGACCTAAAGATGATTTGAATAATTCAAAAAAGTCGTAAGTTACTTTTCTGTATTTTTTTCTTGCTGTTGCATATTGACATTTGCGTACTTTTCACAGGATCTCCAGGATCCAACATGGACTCAATGGCGTGAATTTCTTGTTAAATACCTATTTCTTCCATATCAACTCCTTGCTGAGTTTGCTTGGGACTGGCTTGAAGTTCATTATTGGACCTCTCGGTTTATAATAGTAAATGCCATGTTGCTTTCAGTGCTGGAATTATTCTCGTTCTGGAGGCTGTGGTCAACAAGCCAACTGAGGTATGAATTCACTGCTAATCTGTTGATTTAAATAATGATTAGATGTTTGAGCTTTGGGGCTTCTCATTCCGTCTAGTTTGTGCATACCATCACTGCATGTGCATCAAACACATGCAAGTGTAGCTAATAAAAAACAATTTTTGCTTTAGGGCTGGTTCACACCAGACACAGTCCAGTGCGTTTTTATTCTGCATCAAACACGCATGGACAGTGTTTAACATGGATTCCAATGGCCCTTGTTCACACCAGTGCAGTCAACAAAGGTAGGACATGCAGCACTTTTTCTGTATGGAACACATCTGGAATGCAGCAAAATGCATAAAAAATGCACTGCTATGCATATGTCCCTAATTAAGATGAAGGAAAAAAAGGGGGGGAAAATGCCCTGGAACACACAAAATATGCACTAAAACGCTTCCAGAATGCATCAATTGTGGTGTGAACTGGCCCCAGTATTATGCATTTATGGTGGCTGCGAACGCACCTGCATTTGCTAGACACATGGGAGTGTCATTAAGACACAGTGGGTAAATGGTTAGAATTTCTGCCTGGCAGTACTCGGGTCGTCGGTTCGAATCCCAACCACGGCACCACCTGCCTGGAGTTTGCATGTTCTCCCTGTGCCTGCGTGGGTTTCCTCCAAAAGACATGCTGGTAGGTTAATTGGCTCCTGTCTAAATTGTCCTTAGTATGCTTATGTAAGAATGTAAGTTAGGGACCTTAGATTGTACACCCCCTGAGGGTTAGGGACTGATATGAATGTACAATATATGTGTAAAGCGCTGCGTAAATTGACGGCGCTATATAAGTACCTGGAATAATAATATTTAAGATTAATAATACTTGCATGCATCTGCAGAGGACAGAGCATTTCCTGTGTGGTGTGGGAAATGCATTCCTGCACCGCAAGTGGTGTGAACAAGCCCTTAAAGCTCAACACTAGGCAGGCACCACAGTTGAAATGCATATGAAATGTCCGACTGTCTGAAGATTTGTAACTTTTCCCAGCCAGTTTTGGGATTAACCTACTTCCTTCAAACAGCAAAATTAGCATAGCAGTTATTTACATTGATGCTTGGCTCATTTACACTTGCTTTGTAAACACATTAACCACTTGCCCTCCAGAGGCTTTACCCCCTTCATGACCAGGCCATTTTTTGCGATACAGCGCTGCGTTCCTTTAAACTGACAATTGCACGGTCATGCAACGCTTCACCCAAATTACGTTTATCAGCTGTGTGTTTTTAATTTTTTTTAATTTTTTGTACTATAAACAAGAAAAAGACCGACCATTTTGAAACAAAACAATATTTTTGACTTTTTTTGCTATTAAACATGTCCAATAAAAAAATTTAAACTCAAATTTCATCATAAATTTAGGACAAAATGTATTCTGCTACATGTCTTTGCTGGAAAAAAAAATCCCAATACGTGTAAATTAATTGGTTCACGTGAAAGTTATAGCGTTTACAAATGGGTGTGTGTGTGTGTGTGTGTGTGTGTATATAAATGTGTGTGTGTGTGTATATATGTATATATATATATATATATATATATATATATGTGTGTATGTATATGTAATTTTTTTTTTTTTTTTTTATACTGCTAATGGCGGTGATCAGCGACTTATAGCGGGACTGCGGCGGGTATTCTGACACTGGGGGGGGGGGAAAACTGACTTGGTGTCACTGACATCCCCAGTGACACCAATACAGTGATCAGTGCTAGTAAAAAGCACTGACACTGTACTAACAAAAGCGGTTAAAGTGTGTGTTTTTTTTATATGTGTGTGATGCTTCTGCCATGCTTTGGTGGTGCCTTTTGAAGTGTGTGTGTGTGTCCAAAACCGAGCGAAGCTGAATAAAAACTCTCAAAAGCTGCAGGTGCTGTAAGCGAGCTTTGTCATAGACTTCTATAGAGGCTTTGAAGCACCACTAAATCGACATGAGGTATAATTTTGAAGCAAATGCAATGTGTAAACAGGACTGTAACCATTTTATTTAGTGAACGATGCTTTGACTGGCATTTAGAGTGCTTTAAAAAAGCGTGTCCTATACCATGTTTTACAGCGTAAGCGAGCCCTAAAAAAAGAAACCTAGCCAGGAAAAAAAATTACTTTCAAATATATATCATCCTAATTTCACTTGGGTTTCCACTTGTAAATTTCAGTCGAACCTGTGCTGAAAGTTACAAATCCGCTCTAGTAGGTTTACAGCATGAAAACAATACTTTTGTTTTGAAGCAACATGTTTGCTGGAAGCCAAATAGGTTGGTGGAGATTGAAAAGAAAATACCTTCACGGCACTACATCCTGAATACAATGAACAACAGTGGATTAAGAACCAACGTGACTTTCAACGTGCCAAATGAATTCAAAGTAGGCTGAAAAATGTAATTTACTATCACATCAACAAAATCACAATAAAACCGATAAATGCACAGTATATGGATTACAGAGTATAGTTCAACAGCAGTTCTTCATTAATAGGATTTATGAAAAATATTCTCAACATGTTTCACCATCTTTAGGCTTCAGGAGACCTACATAGCTGTAGAGTACAGTGTGTGAGAAAAAAGAGCATAATACGTACTACACATTGTCCACATTCTACATCTCCCCTATCTACTGCCACATCCTGTGTACAATCACAGGTGGTCCCAAGCAGTAGAACAAACTTGAAGTTCTCAAAGATAACACCTTTTTGCTAGGCAGTTAAAGTTTATGCATGACAAAGACTAACGCTTAGAAGTCCCTGAATTGTATGAGACTAACTCCCCTTTGGAATTATCCTTTAATGATCTTCGATCTTTGCAAGATCTGATGAACTTATGGGAAGAGAGTATCCCTGTGTCTGATATTGGTACATTGGAGGCAGCTGCTACCAAAGTCTCACAGCCATGGGAAGGGGATCCCCGTTTTCCCCCTCCTCTGAAATATAAGTTGAAATCCCAAACGTTTCCACTCTTAAAGCTGATCTCCAACTTTTGTTTTACTTTACATAGTATGCCGTCTGCCATCAGATGAAGCTTTGTATTCATTGATATAATACATTGTTTACTCTGAATGGCTGAGTGCCGCTGTGATAGACTCTGTATCCGGTATAAGACTGGAAGTCTGCACTTGCTCCTGGAACACAGTGCGGTATGCTGTATGTAGCCACTGCTACATACAGTTTATACTGCACATCCAAGCTGGCCCAAACGAACTATGTAAAGTATATCAAAAGGTGGAGATCAGCTTTAAATAGTATTCTCAATAATTTGGCCTTCGTATGACAGGTGTCTAGAAAAATTAATAATAATTAAAATTAATTTATTGGAAAAGATCAGACCCATCGCAATTTTAACTAGCTCCCAAAGACAGGTTTTAACATCTTTTTTAAAAAATACCGACTTAATTAATAAAAGGGGCAATATTGCGAATATGGATTGCTTAGGTTATGAACAAATGTGTTACTGGGTGGTAAACGATGACTGGTATAGGCCAATTCCAAAACCTAGTGTTGAAGATTAAATGGGAGCATATAGGAACCTAACAGGCTACTCCTATTAATAGGGTATTATTATGACATTACGTGTTGAGAGTAGCTTTTAAAAATCTATTAATGAAGAATTGCTGTTGAACTATGCTCTATAATCCATATCCTGCGCATTTATTGTTTTTTATTGTGATTTTTATTGATGTACTAAGAAATTAAATTTTTTTTAAGCTATTTCGTATTCATTTGGCACCTTGAAAGTCGCGTTGGCTCTTACTCCATTGTTTGTTGCTTCAAGACCGTAACTACAATGACAAAAGTCACACCAGTACAATACATGTTTATCAATAAATGTAGAGTTAGAGTATACATGAGTTCTTCTTTTTGTCTCTTCACAAAAATATGTTGTATTGGTTGAGAAAGGCTGATTAAAAAATGAGATTGGTCTTTACAACTCCTTCTAGAGCTGTCAGACCTTCGCCATAGATCCATCTGCTTTAATGGGGAGACATTTTTACAAAACAAGCAAACAACATGGAAACTAGACTTTTAGAAGGCACCTAAGCCACTGTGTGTACTTGCTGTGAAATGAAGGGAAGCTGTGCTGATTTCTATCATCCATCCAGTCATGTGCAAGCAAAAATGCTGTATTTTTTTTTCTTTTGTTTGTTTGGTTTTTTTTATGTGGTTTTCTGTTTTTGTTTTTCTCCTTTTTGTTCCCCTCCGATCTAGAACAAGTGCACTTGCAGTACACAGGCTATTGGCCTTTAGTAAATCAACCCCATTGAATCTAAATAGCAGCTTTGCAGATTAAAGCACAATTATAAAATAACTGAATACATTTTAATTGAGTGTTTATTGTTGGCTGAGTTAATTCTTAGTGCTTGTTTCTCTTTTAGGTCTTTTCCTCGCCTCATGTGGGGTCATTTTTGGAAGATGTCAACGCAGGGGCTTTTTGTTGCAATATTTTGGCCTTTGGTTCCACAATTTGTTTGCAATTGTCTATTCTACTGGGCCCTGTACTTTAACCCAATTATCAACATCGACCTGGTGGTCAAAAAAATCCGCAGGCTGGAAACTCAAGTAATGTAAAGGCACTCCTTGCCAGGGTTGGGTGCAAGTCACAACACTGAACTAAAAGAAGAAAATGCCTCCGCTTAATAAAGTCACTGTGTGATTGGAGAATTTCTTTTCAAGGAATTGAGAGATTGAAGCACTATCGAGGTCAACACATTTTCTTTAACTTTTCTTTTTTTTTTTTCTAAAGAGGATGGTAGTTGAAAGTGATGTATGGTATTTGCAGTTCACAACTTACATAGCAACATTTTGCAGCTGAATTTGATGTTTTTGATTTTATTCAGCAACACTGAATTAAAAGATCATCGGCTATAAGACTTGTGGAAATCAAACCCAAGCAATAGAGGCGTAAAACTCCTGTCTAAATGCTCTATGCCCGTTAATATATTTGCAGTGATTTAATCAAATACAGGGTGTTCTATAAGAGTGAAGGGCATGAAAAGTGGAGGTGCTGTCTCCTGCAAACAGCAGGATCCCACCTGTCATTTCTGCAGTTGCAAAAAGAAACTGAAGCCTAACTATTGTTTGCAACATGTCAAGTTTTTATATTTATAGCGTCTCATAATTGTGTGTGGGTTTCCCATTTTTCTTTAGTTAGATTCATGCTAACTTAAGCCGTTTTAATTTAAGCACACTTTATTTGCTCTGCTTGCATAATTCACTGATCTAACTACTAGCTAAAATTATTTTGCTAGAAAATTTAGTAGTTGCATATCACAGGCGCACAACGTGGTAAATTTATATTACAACCGGACCATTGCATTTAATTTGTTGGGTTTCCCTTATAAATATTATCCTGTATATTGTTTACATTTTCAGCTGCCAAATTTAAATTTCAGAATTGTCTCATTGTTAGGGGAGTTTTAGCACTTAATAAGAAAATGCAGAATTTACTTTATTTGCAAAAAATAGCAGAAAGGGAGCTGATGTTGGAGAGATTTTAATTTTACAATTTCCACCTCCCAAGCTGTCCTGTTGGCCCCTTGTTGATATGGATGGCCCTTAGTGACCAGAATGGGCAGGATAAAGCTTACCTGTAACAGCAGACTTTGAAATTTTGTGCCTGAACAAACCGCTGAAAGAAGCCATGGAGAGATGCCAGCTAGGGACCTAGTGGGCGTTGGACCATTGGAATAGAGGTAATTATTGCTGCCTTTAGTTCACTAGCTCTTTAATTTGTTAGTCAGGTCCACCTATATCTGCTAGTGCATCTAATAATACTCTCCTCCCAGATTGACAATGCTGCTGTCCAAAGGTATCTCCGTTGTCCTCCTAATTGAGTGGAGACATCCTAAGACAGGAAATGTTACTGGGCAGATCACTAGATGGAAACGGTATAAAACGCCTACAAAAGAATGCAGCCACCACATTTAGGATTTTTTGTAAGCTGCAATATATTACTTTTGTTTTTGCATTTAATACTCCTTTAACTTCAGTGGAGTCTTCACTGAGTTTCACTTTTATAACAAACTATACCAAGTGGACCAGATCTTAACTCTACTGATCATTTTTGATTTTGCTGAAATTGGTTTTAGAATCTGAATGAACCTAGGAAGTCTTTTGAAAGTATAGTGTTAGTGTTTATCCAGGCTGAATGTGCTATTTTCATTGATTAAATCTACCACACTTCCTTGTGCCCCCCACACATTTTTATTGATCCAGCACTCACTCATTGGCAAATAGAATTGTGATGGAGGCAGGAAGGGGTGGGCAAGATTTAACATTATGGGTAAGTTCCAAGCTTTGCCTATCAGAACATCCTGGGACTCTACAATGACAGCAGGGTTTCTGAGACTGCTGCAAGGATGTGCAGGCGCGTGTGTGTGTGTACGTTATAACCGCAGCAATTTTATTTTGTCTTTTTAAATGAATGACTATGGATGTAATTATTAGAATTTGCTTTCTGATTATTTTTTTTTTTTTGTTTCCTTTTTGTGCTGCATTATTTTTAGGCTTTCTTAAAATTTGCCTCAAGAAAAGGTTATGGTATGAATGCATATCTGGCTTTTTCTGTAAATGTCTTGTCATTCTCCACAATTTAATATTTATTAAAGTTAACATTTTCTTGCAATCCTTTCAAATTGCGACTTATCCCGATTATTCATATTTATGCAAGATAACCCTTCAACACTATAACCCGTGCACCTAGCAGCCATCTACCAAGCAAAAATCCTAAAGGTGGCCAATACCCCAGTACTGCTTTAACATGGTATAGCTGTGTGGGCTGAACCAGGAAAAAAGGGTAACTGTCATATTATTGTAATAGAGTTCCCTCTTCTCTGCCCTAGCTGTTATGCTGGTATTTCATAATAGAGGGGATGCACACAAAAATAAATTAAAGCAGAAATTCACCCAAAAAGGGAAAGTTCCCCCCACAATATTTTGGATTTTTTTTTTTTTTTTTGGGCAGCAGGAACTGCTGCCACTTTCTCTGCGACTGCCTAGGCGATCATAGCGGAAGTTTGACCCCTTTCTTCACAGCCTCTTGGGACACATCAGAGGTCCCAGAAGACTGTGGGACTATTTACAGAGCTTGCGCATGCGCAGTGGGAAGCCAGCTGTGAAGCTGCAAGGAGTTAATGGGCTGCCCACAGTTTGCCTGGACCAGAAGACTGGCAAAAGAGGACACCAATGAAGACCTCCCTGGATCCTGGGACAGGTGAGTGTGTGTTTTTAAAAGTCAGCAGCTACAGTATTTGCAGCTGCTGACTTTTTAAGTTTTTGTTGACAGGTTGAAGATCCTCTTTAAAGGGATAGTTCACCTTCACCAAAGAACTGCCTATGCAGGTAAGGGGCATCTGTGGATACAAACTGTGTCTCTGACCAAATATGAATAATGTCCTCGCTATAGTTGTAGGCCATTTACTTACATTATGAAGCCTAACTGGAATATTTCCAGGACATTGCTAAGTGAGGCCTAGTCATTACTGCTCACCCCCACCATCACAGGAGTTAGCTTTTTTTTTCCCTGATTCAGACACCCTCGCATGCCCTTGCTCTCCTCTGATGCAGTAGCTCTGAGCTCCACATCTGAGAATTCACTCCTGTGATGGAGGAGGTAAGCAGCAATGAATAGGCCTCACTTGGCAACATACTGGGAGTATTCCAGTCAGGCTTCATGAGGTATGTAAATGCCTACACCTATAGCAAGGGTATTTTTCAACTTAATCACAGCTGCACAGTTTTTTTTTAGTTTTTTTTTTTTTATCTACAGACACCCCTTATCTGCATAAGCAGTTTTTTGGTAAAGGTGAACTATACCTTTAAGGATGGGGAGATATACTGTACAACTGTGCAAGAATGTGATGAAGGGTTATGAGATATTTACTTTTTTTTTTTTTAGTTTGACACAAAGCAGCAACCATAACAGTTAACAGAAATGTATCCAGATACAGAGGTTAGAATCTGTGTAACATCAGGATATACAGGGCAAAAGGCGAGATAAAACGTCCACCAGGAGCCCATCTGGGCCAATATACCAATCCCACCATCACATTTAAGCACGATGGGTAAGTATATTATGAGAGAGGGTCTGCACTCGTGACCTAAACCAAAATATTTACCTTTTATTGCAAAAAAGATAAATATAGGATGTTTTTTAGAGATTTAAACAGTTCTTCAGTTTAAAGTAATATCTTGATTTCTGATTTGACCAGAAAATGTTAGTGTATCTGGTGACAAAAATATAAAGCCAATTACTTTGTAAGGATTAACCTATCAGTGTGTGAACAATTACTCTGATACCCTGTATCATGTCCTGGGACCTTGAAAACCAATTCAAGTACAAACCAGCTTCCATAGTCTCTGGCTCTGATTCACCCTTCCTGCCTCATTTTTCTTACTATTGGTTAATGATGCTTCCCATTGAAAAGATGGCCCAATAGTAAGACACATTAAAGTTGGCATGAGTAGACTCGAGCAAGTGATCTTGAAAGTTTAAATTTGCACTACAGAGCGCCACAGGTTTTAGGGTTCCCCAGGTGCTCTAGGGAATTGGAGGTGGCATGTAATCTGTGCTTTTCATTTGTATTTTTCCTTACCAGTTTTTTTTAAACAAAAAAAACAACACATTTTAGTTTGGTAAACTGTTCTAAGAACTTAAAAGCAGACATGGAATGGAACACCTGTTCCAAAGCACTCAGTATGCTGATTTTGGCTTCCAGTCCCAAAAGTCAGAGCTCTGGAAACTTCATCCCCTCCACAATGCACAACTCGCTATTGATCATTACCCTTAAAGTGGAGTTCCAGACGTTTTTGTGTTTATTAAAAGTCAGCAGCTACAAAAACTGTACATAGTAAAATAGTCTGGCTGAAAAAAGACAAAAGTCCATCCAGTTCAACCATTTAAAAAAAAAAAAAAAGTTATAATCCTACACCCACAGTTGATCCAGAGGAAGGCAAAAACCCAGCAAAGCATGATCCAATTTGTTCCTTCAGAGGCTCTTGTAGCTGCTGACTTTTAATAAACACACACTTACCTGTCCGGGAGTCCAGTGATGTTCTCACCTGCGTGGTCCCTTCCCCCCCCTTCTTTCCTCCATGGCTCCGGCATCTCAACTCTGGCCACCAGGCTGTGACAGCTTGCGGCTTCACAGCCTGGTGCCCACTGCGCATGCGCGAGTAATGATGCGCTTCCTTATTGGTCTGGCAGTCTCCTGGGACCTGTGAAAGTTCCCAGGAGACTGTGGGAGGAAAGAGGGGGGGCAGAACTTCCGGCTCACTTCGCCGCGGCGAACTGAGTCGAAAGTGTCAAAACCAGGTATCTGCTCCCCCCCAAAAGGTGCCAAATATGGCAGTGGAGGGGGAGGCAAATAAGCGGAATGGAACTCAGCTTTAAGCTGGCCGTACGTATTAAGATTTCTCTCATTGAGCCCTGCTGGCTGAACAAGAGAAAAAAAAAATGGATTTCACTATCAGCAGGAATCAGACCAAATTTGATCTGTATATGGCCAGCTTTATTCCTAAGCTGGAAGTTGACATTTGCATGCTTTGATATCTTGGTTTGGGAGCACCTG